GCAGGAAGTCTAACGTGGAGAGCGAAGCGCGCGGCGAGCCATAAAAGGAAGGAAGTAGCAATCGGGACGGCACATCAAAGCGCACATTAATCCCAATAGTTTGTTTATTCTGGGAACCCAACAAGCTCTCGTTTGATTGTTTGTGCTGCTCGGAATGAGTCACGCGGGCGAGTCTCGGGTCGGCGGCCCTTCGTGGGAGAACGCGGTGGACGGAGAGGCGTGTAAATCACGCCCCCCCCCCGGGGGCGTCGCCCGTGGCCTCGTTATCAGCCGGCACGTGGACCATAAATCCCAGATAATCTCTCGCTTAATTTGCTGAACAGCCGCGTGTCGGTTCGTCGTTTCCAGCGTTACGGTCCGCTGTCTCTTTCCCCTTAGTTCGCTCTTGGTTGAATGTGTCCACGTCTCTGCATGCGGCCCAAGGCCTCCCCCCCCTCACTCCCCCCCTCGCCCCCCTCTCTCACCCCCCTCTCACACGGGTCTTCAAAGCGGCGAGAAGAAGTCCACAGCAGCTCTTGAAAAATAGATCGGATAGCCGGTGGGACGCTGCCTCGCTGCCGTGGACACGTCTGAACATCTGAAACACGTGCGCACGCACGCACACGCACACACACACGCACACACACACGCACACGCACACACGGATACAGCTGTAATAGTGTGTACTCTTTATAAGCTAAACACCAACATGTCTCTCTCTGGCTCTCCGTGACATATTATATAACAATATCAATATCAATCCAATTTAAACCATAAACATAAATGTTAATATTATTTCCGTGCTACAAAGCGAAATCAGCTCACGTTTTATAAAAATTACTTGTTTGCATATTTGTTGACTTTTTCACATCACATGCTTTTGATTCATTGATCAGACCGAGAGTTAATTATTGTTTTATAGAAACTATTCAGATGTTTAGTGGGTTCCACTCCACACGGCCCGACCTGTCGACGAAAACAAACACAACCCACTTTTTATTCCCTGGAAGGTTTAGCACGGAATCGTCGTATAAGACGAGTGAGTTCGGGGGGGGAGAGGGAAGACTTTTTCTCTTCATCTAACTCCGGTTACAGTAAACACAGAGTCTCTCTTGTTCGGGAGCTCTCTGCTTCACTTCCTGTCATCTCTTCTGCATTATTGATCACTTGAACGAAACCTCTCAGATCCCAAAGAGTAGTGTGTGTGTGTGTGTGTGTGTGTCTGACATCACCATTTGCCGGGTGTGTTCACAACTACGGTGACCCCGTCGCCTTGGCAACCGCCATCACGGCTAATGGCGGAGTGCTTTAAATGATGGCGTGCTGCCGCCCCTCCTCCCCCGCCGCGCACACATGCAGAAATATGCACACATCACTAATGGGCCCCCGTGATGAACGGCGTCCCCGTCCGTCGGACGCCAGCCGTGAATCGATCTACGCCACCTCCTCTCTCTCTCCGCCGCTCTCAGACGCGATCTGTTTGCAGGACTCATTTCAGCGAGCGATCAGGCTTTCATTGAGGTCGGGCGTCATCTGTAAACAAAGCGATGGCCACGTTCCATCGTTTGGATAGACGATGGTGTGTGCGACACACACACACACACACACACACACACACACACACATCACGTCTTGGTTCTCGCCATCAGGGAAACGCCGACAGCAAAGAGCAGCCGTGTTTGTACACTGAGTGAGTGAGTCCTCACATATTTGTTGCTGATTGCTGGTGCCAGTTTGCGTACATGCCTGCGTGTAGGTAACAGCTGAGTATGTGCGTGTTTGTTCTGGTGGTTGTGTGTGTGTGTGTGTTTTGGGGGTCTTTGGTGCCCGGGTGCACAAAGTAGAACGTTCTCGTTGCACTTTGTCCGGAGATCAAACATCAAGCGATTTAGTCAGCGACTCATCATGCGGAATAACCGTTATTAATACCAGGATTCTATCAGACGGCCGGATGGAGCACTAAAGATGGATGAAACCCACTTTGTCCCAATCGATCCCAACCGCCGAGTACAGCGAGGAGGACTGAAAGGGGAGGAGATGTTAGAGAGCGTCAGTGAAGAGCCAGGGGAGGTCTCATTGTGAGCGGAGTAAAGACTCTCCCATCAGGAGAAGACCTTCTGATCTCCTCCTTGGGAGCCAACGGCGTTATGACTTATCACAGCAGGGAGCGGACCGGGCCGACCTTAAAGACTCACTCCGGGGACGGACGCGTGACTGAGCTCGTCCCCCTCCTCTGCCGCTCCATCTTCTGCTGCATCACCGGACACGAGAGGCTCGTTCTTTCAAACCGAAAGCTTTCTCCTTGTTTTCGTTACTTCGCCACCACCTCCCCTTTCCCTGTGATGTCATCGCCGCGGCGGAGGGAGGAGACGGGGTGCGTGGAGGACTCAGACTTGTTGACTTGAGTCCAATCCCCCCCCCCCCAAGAACCCGGAGACTGGGGCAGAAAGACATGTGGAGAGGGGGGTTGGTTTAAAAATAGTTTGTGGAGTTTTGGGCCGGAGACCACACACACGATACATGCAAATTGGACAAGGAACTTCTGCAGGCAGTTTTGCAAGAACCAGGGAGAGGGGGGAGGAAGGGGGGAGGGGGAGACACCTCGTTAAACTGAATGTGAACAGACAGTTCGGACTCTTTATTAGACGGGCCGGGTGTCCCGACAGTTGCAGGTGGCATCACACACGAGCACAGCACCTTCTTCAGGTGCGGAGCGACCTGCTCATATCTGTTCGTCCCGCCTTTTTATCAGCAGCCACACCGGGAATGCTGAGGGGCGACGTAAGGTAGCGGCAGCGCCCTGTCCATCACAGTAAGCCCCGCCCTGAAGCATCCCCCTGCTTTATGGTCTGTTTGACTCTAAAATGGACCATAATTTACTAAATGAACATCATGCTGTATTGAAGAAGACTTCAAATTAGAGATTAAGTCTCTCATAAACTCATGATTACAATCTTTACTGAGGGAATAAATCTAGAGAGAAGTAGAGCCATTTCCCCGTAGACTCCTATGGGACCAGTGGAGTCGCCCCCTGGTGGACAGAAGAGACATCGCAGAATCTTTACAATCGGCCTCCTGACTGCAACCAATTCAGTAATCCGGCGGCGTCGTGAGCCAGCACGCACAATGCCAGAGCCATGACCCAGAAGCAGCTAAACGCCATTTAGCCTCCATTCAACTCATTATTTCCACCCAACAGAATTCTGGAAAAGGAAAGCGAAAGGAGACGGGTTTTTTGTCAGCGGGTTGAGTGTCGTCTCTCTGTCCCGGTGAACCGGCGGTCACGGACCATTAGTCACACTAAGCGTCATTTGAAAACTAGATAAATACGACTCACTGAATCGGACATAATGTCTTGTGACAGTTTGTTAGCGGGCAAAGACTCTCAGCGGGGGCCCGAGTGTGTGTTCCTCTGTGAATCACTTACCCAGGAGACACCTGTGAAGGACACCTCAGCGATGCGATTACAGAGTGTGACGCACATGTAGCGGCTCCTTCGGTCACTCAGAGGCTCCATATGACCGGAGACCGGTGTGTTCTCCCGCAACCCCAAAAGAGGGGCTCTCAATCCTCACACGGAGGATTCCAGGTGGTAAAAAGAAGCAGCGGCGCTACGCCGCCTGATTTGTGGGACTTTGTTTGGAAACACACACACACGTGCAAGCTTTAATTTGAGTTTTTCGGTTTTCACAGTAAATGGGATCCCAGATGACCGCTCGTTGGGGACGCGGCTCCTCTCCGGCGGCTTCAAATGGGCCGTGAGGCCGTCTGACTCTAAATCGGCGTTTGGCCCGGGAGGCGCAGGGCTGTGGAGGTGGAAGAGCAAACAAAACAAGAGGGGGGGGGGGGGGGGGGGGGGGGGCAGAAAAATGTGAGACGAGGAGAACGAAGGAGGGACAGGAAGGACGTGGGAGGAGAAGATGTGAGGGAGACGAGAGAGGAACGAAGGGGGAGGGGAACGTCACAGCGCCGAAATGACAAGAAGGAGTCGGGCCTGGGAGGGGGAGGAGGATGAGAGGGAGAGAAAATAGCCGGGACGTTGGGGAGATGTTGGCGAGAGAAGAAAAAGCGACGGGGAGGGGGGGGGGGGCTGGGATGAAGATGAAAAACCGGGCCCCCAAACCTGCCATTTGGTGAAAAGTGGGAGAGGCTAGGCCGAAGGGAGGGAAAACAGGGAGATGAAAAGTGATAGGGTTGTAGTGGAGTGGGTGGGAGCTTGATACATAGATGAGAGGGGGGGCCGGGGGGGGGGTTGTCAGAGGAGAATGGAGGAATGAATCAGTGAGAGGTGGCATTTCATCACATGGAGACTTATTGTGGAATATTTACATTAGTCATTTCTTCCTCGGTTTCATTGTGGAGGGAGGAGTCGGGGTGGGAGGGGCAACAACAAAAAACCCAACCAAGGCGAATGACGAGCCCAGTACAAAAAGATGGAGGATGGGAAGTGAGCTGCATGCTGTTTGGGCATAAGAGGTCAGAGACTCGGGGTTGGGGGGGACACTGGGGGAGGGGTATTGGTCTGTGTTGGTTTCCGACTAAACAGTAATTATCCGAACAAAGGTAGTAAATAAATCCTTAAGTGTACGCTATTTACAGGAGGCGCTTGTATGGGCTGGCGTCCTCACAGCAGGGCATTGTGGGACGTCACACGAGGCCTCCTCTAAGTGTGGTCAGCGCCCTCAGGAATATAGAAACCTACTCTTTATTTAGTTATTAATAATACTGATATACTGGTTACGCTCAATGGTACACAGCACCAGACTGTTATATACCGCAATGATCCTATTGAGTTTGTGTCTAAAGTCAATTTAGTTTCTTCAACGTCATTTTAATAATGGAGTCCTTATCAATTGACCACGTGATAACTTGAGCGCCCTTGCGGCGCAGGTGGAGGCGTCGTTCTCTTCAGCTAATGTGCAGCCGCGTGCACTGCGCTCGCTCCGCTACTTTGTCGCCATCGCGTGGACTCTTAGGGGAACTGCTTCGGCGCTTCCGTTCGGTTTGAGCCTAGCGGGGAGCCGTAGGGGAGCCGCAGCCGTCGCCCTGGCAACAGGCGAGATCTCGGCCCGTTTGCTGCCCGTGAGCGGCAGCAGGATTCTCCTAAACCGGGAGGAATTCCACCGCGAAGCAACGGCGGCGTAGATCTCCCGGTGGCCGACGGAAGCCGCGATGGCCACGGGCAACCCGTCCGTGTTTCTGCTCACGGTTAACGGACAGATTGAGGGCGCGAACGTGAGTGTTAGCCTGGCTAGCCTCGCGGCTAATTTCAACCGCGTTAGCAGCAGCTAACGTCAACACCGCAACGGCACCGCCTCGATATAGAGTTCATTACTTCAACGCTTAAATGTTTCTGCTGCTGTGTTTCAGTTTCCGGAGTATGACAACTTGTACTGTAAATATTGTTTCGTCTACGGCCACGACTGGGCTCCCACCTCGGTGAGTAATCCGGTGTATTAATGAGAACGGATGTTCACATTAGGAGTTTCTATTGTGTGCACGTCGAAGCTCCTCTGCAGGGCAACAAGTAACGTTAAATACTCTAATATTTAACAAGTATTCGTTTCAAAATAATGGATTGATATTAAAGTAAATGAACTGTTGGATCCAACCACATTGTTGTAGAAAACGTGTGATTGCATATGTTTGGTAAACGGTTTGTTTACTGCTCACCGGCTGGTCTGCAGGGGCTGGAGGAAGGCATCACTCAAATAACGTGTAAAGGCCGTCAGTCATCACACAAGTTAATATGGAACTTCCCTCTGGAGACAACGTTCAAGAGCACAAACCCCTCTGGATGTGAGCATCGTACACACACGCCTGGAAGCCGCCTCCTTCCTTCACGTATTGAAATAATCTCTGAGCTTCTAAGAGATCACATGATGAAAATGACACAAAATGAAGAGTTCTCTTCTCTCCCCCAGGGCCTCAGCTGGTGGTGAGCGTGTACGGGCCAGATGTGTTTGGCAACGACGTGGTCAGAGGCTACGGAGCAACACACATCCCCTTCACACCTGGACAGTCAGTATCAGCCACTACAGTCCGATTCTGCTGATGATGCCGATTAATGATTGTGATCTGTCATTCGGTTCCTCAGACACACACGAATAATCCCCATGTTTGTTCCTGAGCCCACGTGGAGACTCCAGAAATTCACCAGGTAGAACCATCGTGTGTTCTGGATTCTTGTCGCTCCCTACAACACAGTAGAGAAGCAAAGTTGCACATGTGGACCTTTTGCTTGCTCAATTTAAATATTGTCACAGGGATCAGATTTTGTGTTGGATCTGCAGAAGTGTCACAAGTGGATGTGGGTGGTGCCTTTTCACTCATGCGATCCTCCTCTACGTACTTAAACACATCACTTCCGGTCTGCCAGAGAGGACTAATAGTCTTCCTCTGTGGTTTCTAATCTTCTCCCCTTGTCTAGCTGGCTGCTGGGGCGGCGGCCCGAGTACACAGACCCCAAAGTAGTGGCCCAGGGCGAAGGCAGAGAAGGTCTGTTGGGCACACTCCAATACATGCGGATGAATATATGCGGAGTTACCGATAACATGTACATTGCTGCTACAAAGACCCCGTCTTGTGTTGCAGTGACGCGGGTTCAATCCCAAGGCTTCGTCACCGTCTCCTTCCACATCATCACCAAAGACATGAAGAAGATGGGCTACGACGTCGGGCCGCCGAGCTCGGCCATCGCACCGTCCGCCACATCTGGCTGGTCCACGGAGGAGCAGCCGCACGGCCTGTAAGGGCGCCAACGGGGGACGTAGTCAGTTATGTTGGATGTTTAGCACCCTGCAAAACAAAGGCAGGACATTCATGTTAAACAACGCGTGTGCTAAGTTCTAAATAGTGCACACACTTTAAGCAACACATTTATTTATTTTAACATCTTTTTAAATTCTTTCTCTTTTGTACCTTTTTAAAAATAAATACGCTACTTCTGATTTGTCTATACTTGAATGCTTTGATCCTTCACACACACACACGCACACAGTCCTTTCAAAGAAGCTGACGCACAGTGACTGACTGAAGTGATACAGTTTATTTTTGAACCAATGCAGCTACAGTCGTGCTCATCCGACAGCCTCCGCTCGTTTAGATGCCGTTAAAATACCACGGTGACTTTTCCTACAAAAACCCATTACACAGAATAATAAAAAGGTATACAGAGGAACAGTATGTTACAATAGTACAAATGATAAATTATATTATACAGTTATAATGCCAACAGGTTGAGCACGTATCCGATAAAAAGAAAATAAAAGCATCCTGTTCCCAGTACTATGAGGAGGGTAGAGAGAGACACGGAAAAGGTCAACGGAGGCTGTTAAAGCATAAAGACAGGTCAGTTAGTCCTTGATAAAAGCATAGCAACACACTGAAGAGCCACATTTTCACTGCACCTTCTCCACAACCGTGAAACTGCTGCCAGGGATCAGAAAGAATCCGGCAGTTCTCTTCTTTTTGTCCGTTTCATTGCATCACAACCTCCAGTCGCTGGCGTCACGTTAGCGGTGAAGTCCCGGCTAGAAGGTCATAGTAGCTTTCCAACAAACAAGACATCAGCGGAACACATCAAGCTCAATTCATCATCTTTTTTTACCGTTTTAACTCCCAAATTTTTGCATATGTTTGAGTTTAAAAATGTTTGCTGGTCTGCAAGTAAGTAACATCATTCATTCAGGACCCCAAGCGCACACACACACACGAGGTGGGAGCTGTCCCTTCTCTTTGCCTGAGACAAATATCGGGTTGTCCTACCGCAGTGGACCAGGAGGGGGCGCCGGGCTCACACCTCAAGAAGACAAACCTTCCCCAGCCCCAAACCCTGGCAGTGATAACGGCACCCGAGAGACCTAAAGACAACAAGACTCCGTCGCATGTTTCATCAACACGTTTTTCTTTCCCCGGCGACAGAAACAGAGCCGATATTCAGCCGCCTGCAACTTTCTCACACTAACTGAAATATAAAACGGAGCCATAAACACAGGAAACTAAATGGGACCAAACCCGCAGAAATCAGTGGCTTTGACTTTGGTCACAGTTGTGCTTCTGGGAAGAGAATTACACAGCGTGACCAAAAACTACAACCGGAGCTCCGCTGCTACGCCGCTGACAACACAAAAACAACCCACGAAACTAACAGGAACAACTGCCGTTTGCTGCGGGATTCCCTGTGCGATCAATAGACCGCCTGTAACGAGGAGAGAGTGTGTGTGTGTGTGTGTGTGTGTGTGTGTGTGTGCCAGGTGACGCTCTCGCGGGTGGATTAGTCGCAGTAAATCCACTCGGGAGATAAACTCTTCCTGATAACGGACGGCTGACATACTTTAAAACCATGGGAACACTCCTTGATATGTGGTTGCACACTGCCGCACGCACACACACACACACACACACACACACACTTGCAGAGGTCTACATCATCACCCCCCCCAGTTTTGACTTTAGTCTCCAGAACGTACATTTTTGTGAAGTCAGTTTACACTTTACAGTGAGAAATGGAGGAGAATGAAGAACAATAATACTCGCTCATTAAAAGTACACTTGGAAGCTAAACGTATCTCATATACCCCCCCCCCATCCCTTTGATCCTAGAAACAAACTAAAATAAACATAAAAACCTGTCCCATGATGCATCACTGCATCTATATGTTCAGATAGCACAAAACAGATGCCTTCACAGTCAAACACACACTTGGGGCCAGGGTTTTTTTTTTTTTTTGGGGGGGGGCCGCCTTTAGTAACAGTTACATTAACATGTGGCTGTTAGTATCAGTCCGCAAAAAAAAAAAAAAATGCATTTACGCATTTTATCAGCCCCCCCCCCACCCTCCCCAGGAAAAGGGGCTCATCCCCCTTTAATGAGTGTCCATTGTTGGTTTTGTGACCCCCCCCCGGAGGTCAAAGTTCACATGGAGCATGGGGGTCCAATTTTGACAGGAAGTGACCGGACGAGAGTTGTGACTGAGTGGTAGGGAAAGACGAGGCGGCGCGTCTTATACGCCCCCCCCTCCCTCGCTAAGGTGTAACGGTGAGCCCAACAGCCGCAGACAGAAGAAATAAAAGACGAAAGGTTGTGCAAAATCCCTGCTTAGTAACACACACACACACACACACGCACGCACGCACGCACACACACACACACACACGCACACACGCACACACACACACACACACACACACACACACACACACAGGGCTTATAAAAGATCAGCTCTAGTGAAGAGACAAGATCCTGACGTCAGCGTGGTCGGACTGTCTCATCACTCCACCACAGAAGAAGAGTAAGAGTAGTAAACAGCACTGCAACTCTGAGTCCGTCGTCCACAACAGCGCTTGGAACACGTGGGACCGGCAGCTTGTAGCATCGGGGGGAGGAAGGAGTGAGTTAACGTGTGAGGGGGGGGGGGATAAACGGGATAAGACATCTTGTTTATTTTGCAGCTTCTTAAGTGGCCAAAGAAGAGAAGGGAAGGGGGGGGGGGAGGGTTACTCTGGGGCAAGTTGTCCCCTGTCGCCCCCCCCGCCCTCACAAAAGGAAAGGGTTGGTGGTCCCGCCGGGCTGCGCCTCCGGCCTGGTGTGCCCGCATGCTCATCAGGGGCTGTGGGGATGGACATCATGGAGGGCGGCCCCATCCCGGGCACGCGCGGGGAGCCATGGCAACGGGCTGAGCCGGCACCGAGGGGACGGCCATGGGCTCCACCAGGCCGAAGCCAGAGGGCATGGGGCTCACGCGCATCTGGTTGAGGGTGGGGGGCGCCGGCTGGCTCACTTGGAAGGGGTTGGCGTGGGCCGCCGCAGCCGGGGCAGAGAGACCTGACGGAAAAGAGAGGGAGGGGTGAAGAGGGCGGAGCTGACACACAGTGTGTGTGTCTGTGTGTTCTTGGCTGAGCGACTACTTCCTGTCTGAGCTCAATCAGCTGTGATCAGCTCGAGTGAACCGGCGTTTCTTTGTGAATATAAAACCACTTATTTCTTATATTCACTGATATTTTCAGCATCCTCGTGTTTTCTCCCACCTGTTGAGGCCAGGAAGGGGTTGACGACCGGCGCCGGCTGGGCGGGTTTGGTCACCAGCGAGTCCAGGTTGACCAGCGCGGCGTTGGGACCCAGGAAGGACTCCGGGGTCTTCCTGGTGGGGTTGCCGATGCCGGACATGGACATGGAGCCCGGCAGGGGGTCAAAGAGGTCCAGGCTGCCGCTGCTAGCCAGGCTGGCTTGGGAGAGGATGGAGGCCACGCCCCCGTCGCCTGGGAGACAAGCAGCAGTTTGTGTTACGTCCCTTAGCGACACAACACTGGGGACGTTATTTCTTATCTAGTCTGCAGACTCAACACTCGACGAGCTGCTGCGCCAACGCTTTGTTTAGTAAACACATGCTGCTGGAAATTCAAATGGATCATACGTGGTCTTTTTCTTATTTTCTGCTTGTACATGAGCAGCAAAACAAGGTGATGCAATCAAACGAGCGGTGGAGACATTCGTTAATGCACTCGCACACACACGCGTGAAATGTCAAAAGATGAAAAGCACCGTCATCGGGGCAGAAACAGAAGAGCCTGAAGAAACAAAAGGGGGATCAGACGTGCGTGTTAAGCCTCCAGCCGCTTCCTGAAGTCGTCTTTTGCACCGCGAGCTGACTCGGGCATTCTGGGAAAAGGGACTTTGTGCGCCCGTGTTTGTGTTCCCTCTCACCTCGTCCTTGACCGGTATCGGTGTTGCGTTGCGTTTGTGTTTGTGTTGAGCTGGATCGAAAGTTAAGACGCCAGTGTGACCCCACCAGGCGTGACACGCACGCTATGCAAGAAGCAGAAACCCCACCCGACCAGAGCCCCGACTCTTCACGCGGCGTCTCCGGTCGGCACCGAGTGGACGGCTCAGGTCCAGTATGCATTCAGCCAAACAAATAGAAGAGCAGCACACGTTTCCCCACAGCGATACGGCACCAAACCGGAGCAAAAGATACCGAAACATCACTGGTTTTATTTTGTTTTGCTCAGGTCTGGTTCACATGAAAAGACAAGATGTGTGTGTGTGTGTGTGTGTGTGTGTGTCACCCCGCAGAGATCACGTCAGACACTCAGGGGGCGAAACCACACAGACATTAGAGAGACGAAGACAAGGGTGAGTACCAGTGGGGACAGAGGAGGAAGAGCGCAGGCTGTCAAACTCTGAGAAGTCCTCTTTAGACGTACCGTTGGATGCATTGAACAGGTCAAAGCTACCTGAAAGGGGACAACACACACACAGACACACACAGATGGAAACAACACACAGAATGAATGAGTTTGGATATTTGGGTAAACTTAGCATGCAGATCTCAGATAAACTAACAGGCTAAACAGAGTGACAGCTGACCAGTGGGCCCCCAATGTCCCTGTAGATGATGTCTCAGGACTAAACTGAGAGAAGCCCCCCTCCCCCCCACCTGCCCCGCTGGTCACCTGTGTTGGAAGCCGGAGGGCGGGAGGCTGCGGGGCCCCAGGGGTCGGCGGCAGGAAGGGAGTTGGATGCCCAGGGATCGCCGCTCTTCATGGGCGGGACAGAGGCAGCGGTGCCCCACGGGTCCACGGGGGGGGCCGGCTTGGGTGCAGACCCTGGGGAGAGGTCCAGAGTTGTGAAGGACGGGAGGTGGGAGGGGGGTGAGCACGCAAAACAAGAGGAGGTGGGACACAGCAGGAGAAAGGTAGGATGAGACCGCCTTCTAATCTATCCATTTCAATATTTACATATCCACCCCCCCCTAAACCCCCACGGCCGTCTTGCTTAGCTGTTCCACACTCCCCGATTCCTTCCCCCCGCCCTCCTGCAGTAATGCCGCTGAGCGGGTGGAGCAGCATTCCGACAATGAATGGGTCCTGGGAGCTGCAGGTGGAGCAGAGAGCTCCGTACAGCTGCGTTTAGAGATCATGTGACGCCCCAGTGTAGAATGTGCACGTTTTGAGTGCGTGTGTGTACCGTAAGACTGCCACGGGTCCTCCGGTGCGGCGGCCCCTGCTCCGGCCCCCCAGGGGTCGGCGGTGGCCCTGGGCTCCGGGACGCTCATCAGGTCCATCAGAGCGGACTGCGGCTGGGAAGCAGACGGGGGGTAGAGATGAAGAGGAGGGAAACAGGACAAGTGAAGCTCCGCCATCATCCTGCTCCAACGTGGACGTCCTGAGTTCATACCTCTTTCTTCTTCTTGGGCAGCTTTGCCGATTCTGGACCTCCTTTCTTGCTCTCCTCCAAGGCCATCTGTAGCGCAAGATCGTCCCCCTCTGGGGTATGCGGTCCTCCTAACACACACACACACGCAAATTCTCCACAGTTATCACAGTTCATCACGGCCACAGCATGTGTGTGTGTGTGTGTGTGTGTGTGTGTGTGTGCGTACCTGCTCGGGCCGCCTCCCGGCTCATGACCAGAGCCAGCTGCAGCTGCAGCTCCTCCTCCCCGCTGGTCTGGGGTCGGGCCTGCTCCAGCTCTGAGCCGGCGTTGAGAGACGTGGCTAAAACGAGACCCACAAAAACGCACAATCAAGAGAGAGAAACACGCGTTGCCATCGCTGCCACATGAGACACCGTCACACACAGTGACACAGGCTGTAAAACTGGATGGAAGCTGTGTGTGTGTGTGTGATTAAAGCCGTATGCGAGCCTGTAAGGGACGACGGGTCTATTCAGTTCATTGGATTAGAACCGAACGCAAAGAAAACACACACACACACACACACACACACACACACACACACGTCAGGAAAAAGGAAAAGTTGTCACATGGAAGGATTCGTCTCGGGCTTTAACGCGGTTGTTGTTCTCTGACTTAAATCCTTCCCGTCGGGACCCCGCCCCCTTTCTGCTGAAGGGGACACTGACTCAGAACACCACGACCATCCGGTGACGTCATTCTGACAGCCGATGACTCATGGAAGAGACACACACACAGACACACAGCAACACACACACACACAGACGGCACTCGGGGAAAACGCTGATGCTTAGTTTCACTATTTGACGCAATTAACGCTGAATTTCCTCAAGACCTGCGGAGGAAGCAGACGTCGCATCAGACGTCACGGAGTCGATTCACATCAGGCGTTTCCACGTTGGCCTTCCTAGAAACGTCTTAGTGTGTTATTATATATGCAAGCATTGAGTCTGTCACGCGATGATCAAGCAGCGTTGCCGTTTGTATCAATGAATCATTCTTTTATCAAAAGGAATATTTTCCACAAAGACTAAAGTGTTTTAAACTAAAACCTTTCAGAAGAGAGCGAGGAGGACAAATAAACTGAACCTAAAGCCGACGACCACACGGCGGCTTCTCGCCCGGCGCGGTGGAAGAGGACCATATACGGAGAATCACGACTTCCTGGCATTCCTCACAGAAAGTTATCTGGGTTTCTCTTTGTGTTCCGTGGAGACACGGAGAGCTTTGGAGAAGTGATTGATGCCTCACGGCTGCGGCAGGTTCTTCAACAAAACGCCTCCATTTGACCAAACAATCCGTGTTAAACTGTGAAAACCGGACAGAGACGTGTGTGTGTGTGTGTGTGTGTGAGAAAGATAAAAAGTAGATACGAGTTCTCAATAACTAATAAGTAACAATCCCGTGGTCACATTAAGGCCGAGATCAGGAACACGCTCTTTTCAGGTGCTCTGGGGGCTGATGGGAGATATTCTGGCTGAACACTGGCCGCCTGGACAACAATCCCCGAGAAAAAAAAAAAGGTTCGACTGGAATCCCAAAAATCTTCCGCTGGAATCGCCCCGCCTCGCTCCCATTGGTCCGTTTCCTGCAGTTCAGTCAAACTGATGACTCAGCAGCCGGAGCAGAACGCTCAACCGTCACGCTCACGCAGGAAACCACGTATGAAAATACACACACACACACACACACACACACACACACACACAAAGACCTCCTGCCATCCTGCTGTGCACAAAGGAGGAGGGGGGGTCAGAGGATGTAATGGACAAGAGGTCCACTCTTTCATTTCCGCTTCTCTGTTCCTTCCCTCTGTTCCCTCGCCACATTGCCACATTTCCTGACCAGGTTTCTGGTGGTTTTCAGCCAGGGGGGGGCAACCAGCGCATCGGTGTCACCCCGTTAACAAGACGGACTCGTTTGTTCACTTCCCTCCTCCCACCATGCACCTCTTCTTCATCTGTCCCTGCGTGCGTCCATGTCTCCCTGCAGGGGGGAAGCGGACTGTCGAAAAGAGGAGCAGATTCCTCCGTCATGGGGATGGGAGAAGCTGGACGGGGGCTGGCGGGCAGAGGGGAACGCCGCTTCCTCTTCTCTGTGTGTGTGTGTGTGTGTGTGTGTGTGTGTGTGCGCTGAGGAATGCAACCCTACTGCGGGAATGCAAGCCAGACACAGCAGGGGGAGGGGCAGGTTTTTCAGGATGTAGGCCAAAGTTTCACCAACTGGGACACAATAATGGGATCTTCAGGATCCTACATGTAGCTTAAACATATGGGCCGAGCCTGTGCGTGTGTGTGTGTGTGTGGTGGTACTCACAGCCGTGGTAGGAGGCGGGAGAGCCCTCGGACCTCTGGCCGTACTCCTCGCTGTAGGAGGTGGAGAGGTTGGGCTGAGACGAGCCTCGGCCGAAGCCCACCTGGCCGCTCCCAGTGGACACCTGGGCCATCCGCTCTTTGGTCTTCAAGGCCTGCGAGCTAGTGGGGCCGATAAATAACAGCAGCTCAAGATCGGGTTTAGATTCCTGAGCGTTGAATGCAAACAAACATGAGCAGGGGGTTTGAAGGAATCAGTGCAGCTGGTTCAAATAATGAGATAAACGTCCTGATGCCAAAGCACCCTGAGAACAGCCTTCAACTGTCTTCCAATTCTGGAACGCAGCAGCTTAATTAGAATTACACGTGCTGCCAAACCAACAACGAAGCGCCCTTTGGCCACAATGTGGAGAACGATGCTACGCTCTGGGTTTAGAGTCGGGAAAAGACGGACGGATGAACAAAAAACAGTTACTGACATAAACGTGGGGGACAATTACTCTTCTACTTTAACTAATCGATGGGAAAGACGTCAACAAAGCGCTTTAGTTTCCACTAAACTAAGCAGCTCTTTATCTCAGCAGCGGCGTCATGGAGATCCGCCGCTGCTGAGATAAAGAGTGCAAACGCACCGAGCGCCGTTCTGAAGTTCTCATCGGGACTTACAGAAGGACGAGTGTAATAGAGGACGTGGTGCCAGGGTCCAGCTAAAATGTATATTCAGTTAACAACATTCACGCAACTGAAATCCCCTCGTGTGGGTCCCCTGTCTCCCCTCTCTAGGTCCTGACGGGTCCCGTCTCCCCTCTCTAGGTCCTGGCGGGTCCCGTCTCCCCTCTCTAGGTCCTGGCGGGTCCCGTCTCCCCTCTCTAGGTCCTGATGGCGTTGTTAGAGCCCTAATCTGCACAACCCCGAGTGACCCCAGAAGGTTCTGCAGGACGCCCTCACCGCTCTCCTTTGAGGCGCTCGTCGTCTTTGAGGAGCACCACCAGCTGCTTGCTCTTCTCCCGCACGTTGATGCCCTGGTCTTTGCCGTCCCGGTCGATGTACTGGAAGTCCTTCAGCGTCTGGATGGCGAAGATGTTCTCCTTGCACTGCAGCGCCACTCGCTCTGAGCCCGTCTTGATCAGGTAGTCGAGCAGGGTGAGCGCCTTGTAGACGTGGCGCCAGTTCTTGCCGTGGTCGTTGAGCCGCTTCCAGATCATGCTCATGATCTCGCTGAAGGCGACCACGTTGTAGGTGAGGTCGGCGACTTCGGACATGAGCGAGGACGACGGGCCCCAGGGGTCGTTGGAGGTGGCCTCCCTGACCTTCTTCTCCGCGTCAGAGTAGTTGTTCACCATGTTCTTCATCTGCCGGCGGATGGTGGAGCTCGGCATGGTGGCGGCGGCGAGGAGGAGGGCGTGAGGGGGTTCGGTGACGGGGGGGGGGTGTGGAGCTTGGAGTGCTTGTTGCGTGCGCCGGGGTCCTTTCTCAAGGCACCGCGGGGGCGGAGTGCGGGTCTTGTAGTGTACAGGTGTGTGTGTGTGCGTTTATGAGGCGTCTCCAGGCCAGCGCAGTGTTCCCGAGTCCTCCAGAACGGCGTCTGTTAGATTCATCTCCAAACACACAGTGCTGGCTGCACGCATGACTGCGCCATCACCTGGGACAGACAGAGAGACAACAGGTCAGTGGCAGGAAGAGGAGGACGAGGACATTTGGGGAGCGCCAGCTGAAGAGGAACGAGGAAACAGAGAGCGCTTCCTCGTCGAACCCGTCCACAGCTTAGTGGCCCGGCGTCGTGATGACGTTTTTGTTTTTCTTAAACAACAACAAGCAGCACACGTTCCTGAGTCGACACTGATCATGAAGAAAAGGCTTCATTTCTGTAGGGGAAAAAAAAAGTATCCATATTCTATATAATTGGGAGACGTACTAGAAAAACGAGTCCCGGCTGGATTTCTTAAATGTGTGGTTGTAATCCTGACGTCCACACCTGAACAATTAGATTAATGCACCTATCAGTCACTGCAGTGCCTCCTTTTTGAAACTAAACCAAAAAAAAAACCCATTCCATACAGTCAAAACGGTGTTACATTTATCTACCGGGAGAGATGCAATGTTTATGAAACAACTAGCTTCAAAAAGGTGGTTTTATGCTTTGTGGATGGAAACCCAACATTTAAACGTGCTCTAAATCGCTCAGCATCAGCGAGTTTTCTATTCTAAATAGTTTCATCGACGGTCTATTAGTACAAAATGTTGTACCGGCCTATTACAGGTATTTACCAAAACGGCCACTTCTGCAGAGATATGATAATGACCACAAAAGCAACAGCTAATTACGGCTTGATTTACGCGTTATACTTGCGAGGCGTTTATCTCCACTCTCTACCATCACGTGGGCTGATGGGACTGAACAATCAGTGGGTAAAAAACGCTTTTCCACCCGTTAGTGGGCGGCGCCGTTTCCAGTTTGAAGATGACTACGGGAGTTTACTGACGACTCCTCCGGTTGTGACAGATCAGCAGCTCGGCTGTAAGTCACTTCCTGACAAACACGCCGGTGTTGAAACACACACACACACACACACACACACACACACACACACACACACACAGCTCATAACTATGAGCAAACTCTCTTGCTCGTGGGAGAAGTCCCTTCATACTTAAGCTGATAACCAGCCTCCCGGCGACCACGCTGCTGCCGTCTGGAGGAAAGAGGATACGGTAACGGAGCTCGAGCTCGGATCCGAACCGACCTCAGGCGGAGCTCCTCGGCCCGATCACTCACACAGATTACTACACCGGTTTGTCCCCACATTTCATCAGAGTACACTCTCTTCTCCTCCCCCCGTCGCCCACAACTGCCACGCAGCTCAATGGCAGAGTTACACACATCAACATCTCACAAACTCACTAAATAGTGTTTCTTCTTAACGGTTCTGGTGGCAACTAGCAGCTTGGCCCGGTTCCCCCGGGGAGACCCGGGATGACTTCTCCTATTCAGTAACCTGATCCCTGCACCAAGCCTGCACCGACATGCCCCACAACCTAATGCCCCCAGGAACAGAGGGAGAGTGTTGGAAGCCATCAGCAGTCTGTGCGCGCGCCGAGTTCAATGCAACGCTCCCAGCGTTTCACTTTAACAACTTAGCGAGCCGATTACGTCTGGACGAGCTGCTTCCTGCATGGAAAGACAGCCGGGTGTATGTGCTGGGGGGGGGGGAGGGGGCAACTTGGCACATACCCTAAATGTATTAAACGCACACAGAATGTGATTCATGGGGAGCATGCCCCCTCCCCCGCCCCCCCCTCAGAGGTTCACTCCTCGCCGTGCATCTGCATGAATGCAGCTCAGACCTAATGACACATCTGCTGCTTGAATCACCTATTCACCAATGGCAGACAGGAGTCTGTCTTGTCCATCTCCCCCCCCCCCACACACACACACACAGACTTCTCCTATACACTCCGGAACACCCCCCACCCCCAACAAAAGACACCACGGGCCCGACTTTCCTTCAGCCCTTCTGTGAGACGGCACACAATCAATATAACTGATAAATATTCATGTGTGAGCACAGGTTCACTGTGGGCCAGCGAGGAGGAGGGGGGGGGGGGGCAAACTATCATGTCATCTAGGGTCATTGAGCTCTGTATCGGACAGGTTGAAGGAGCGATCGGTGGCCCTGGATTCACATGCTTCATTTCATGTTTTCATGTGTTAGTAATCGTTTTGCTGACTTGCTCTTTTTGTCCCATTGATGCCGAGAGATGGACGTGACTTAAGAAGCCGCAGAGAACTGACAGTAGCCACAGGAGGAAGTTGGGCTCAGGCCAAAGTCAGTCTTTTTGAGAAGGTGAGTGAAGAGAAACTAGCTCGTAAATATACGTCAATGGAAAACATTAACCACCGTATCCCCTAGATGGATTAGGACGAGTCACATGCAGCGTTACATGCAAAGTCAGACAATTTTAATTAATCCCAACGGAGGAATTGCTTTCTAACCAAATAACATCACCACAACTGTGCACAATACCACCAATAATCGTTTAAAAGAATGTGGCTGATTGTGCCAAAAATGGCAGTGATCATCAACAGGTCAAACCGCTTGCTGAACTATAAACAATCTCCTCCGGCAGAGGGATCGAAGACGGGTCGGAACAATGACTAATTTGCGGGACACTTATCAGGGCGTATCACGGCCTTTTTGGATCTTACGCTTTCTGATCACGTTTGTTATGGTTGTCAGCATGAAGAAGACGGCCAATCGTACATGGTTGCGTCAACCTCACAGCGGGCGAACGGACGGCCCGCGCATGAACCGCAGACACGCACACCAGATGATGAATGAATGACAGAAACCAGAGAAAGCATCAATCTGGCTTTTCAGAGGACTGTCTGCAGTTCTTGTGCTGCTGTGATAGAGAAAGGAAGACGGGTGGGAGACGCCGCCGTGGGACGCACGACTGTGTCGACCCGTCCAGAGCCGTTTTCCGCGTGTGTGCCTGTGCAAGTATCTGGGTGTGTCTTGGCTAACCCGTGGTAAACTGTGATTAGCATTAATGCCCGAGGAGCGGTACACTGAGAACAGGTCTACCTTGCCCGACCCACGCAACAGGAGCAAAGCCGATCGGACTGAAGATAGGCGGCGTTGCACAACCAGGTGCCCATATGTCTGACCAAATCTGTGTGTTCAGAGAGAGAGAAGGAAGCATATGCAACAGCACGACATCAAGTTATCCACCCAGTTCCCCATTTACTCCTATTGAGCTCTTCTAAGGGTAACCTTATTATATATTATCTTATCTGTCTTGTTGTCCATTGTCTTACTGTCTGATGTTATGCACCAACCGCCAATCAGTCAAATTCTTTGCATGTCTGACATGTTTTGGGAATAAATGTGTCACGATTCCTGATGAATCATTAGAATTAGATTACTCTAACAATCATGTCTACTTTAACCCCCCTCCCCCCTAACATGTCTTCCTGACGGCTTTAAATGACCCGTGAGAGGAGCAGAGAGCCTCGAAGCAATGAGGGTAAAAGAAGACACCTCCTGGATCCGCACGTCCCCCCCCCACCCCCGGAGGACAAAGCCAAAGTCGGGGGAGGGAGGACGGCGATGACGCGCGCGTGCCCCACCGTGAGTGACAGATCGCCCTGACAATAGACAAAGGGGGGAGAGCCCCCCCCCCCCCCCCCCCCGCCCCCATCTCTCCCCCCGTCAGGCCACGTTACGTGAGCCCTGAACGCACCGCTAGCTCCTCCACCACCACAGACAGACAAACAGTTCCCCTGAAATCCCAAGTAGTGCGGAGACGTCAAGTTCTGCGGTGGTGACTCAGAATCCCACTGAGGAACCTCCACCTTCAGAAACATGTTGAGTGGTGAAAAGAAAAAAAGGAAATGATCAAGTCGTTCCTTGAAAAGGACAACAACAAATCACTGCGTTTCATTGAATCGATGCGGTTGATAAGCTAAAGCTACTTTAGCCAACGAGCTAACTAGTGAAGTAACGTTAAAGTGTCCCAATCGTGTTTAGAATTAGTTAAGTAACATTACCTCCTCCTAACTAGTTGGGTGTAGCAGAGATGTTTGCATAACACGTCTGGGTGAATGGCGTTAGCCTGCTTGCTAGCAACGTTAGCCAGCTGGGTGCAAACTTGCGGCAAGAAGTTGTCGCTAACTAGCAAGATGAGCTAGCGGACAACGTTAACTCGCTTACGTTGATTTAATGTTAGTTTGTTGACTCGGGCGCACTCGAGTCCACACGCCGACTTAAAGTGGGTTTTATCCCCCCGCTGTGAACCACTCGGCTGTGCGTCTGGGTTTTTATATTTCCGCTCGCAAATGCAACCAGTGACTAAAGTTTATTACTGATACGAGATCAAAAGAAAAAGTTGGACCGAGGCTAGCAAAGCTGGTGTTCAGATAGCCGGTGGCAAACCTCCCCCCCTATCTATTTCTCCCCCCTCCGCGGTTCGGGAGAAAAAGACAACCGTTGGACACCAAGCCCGCCATTCATTACATTCACGGGTATTCACTTAAACACGCTTAACTACTCCAGTCGGCCCCTGGGCGTTTTTCCCTGTGCTAAAACTGCCAACTAGCATGCTAAGCTAAGCTAGCGACCCCCTCTGCTAGCAGCCGGGCAGACGGGTGCTCGGTGGAGACATCGCCGCAGCAAACTGGATTACAAGACATCGCGGAAAAACAAAACAACCCGACTGTCGAGGTTAACTCACCGTATACGTTTCGTTGACGACACCTCGGGTTCAACCGTTAATCCAGGCGGCGGGTGGGGGGGGGGGGCAAACCCATAAACGAGTTTCGTTAATTCCAACGGGGGGGGGGGTGAAGGGGCGCTTAAGAAGGAATACTTATTTTTGGGGCTCGGGGAGCTTGTTGCGCCCTCCGTTGAGCTAAGTGTTGCTAATGCTAAGCCAGCCAAAGCCCAGGCTACACGAATCTCCTCCTCCGGAACATGGCGGGCAGAGCGGGAGGGGAGGGGTGAGAGGCCGGGAAGGGTGTGACCAAGGCGGGCAGAACACCGCCCCCCACCCCCCCACCTCACACATGATAACACACGCCTTGCCTACCCAGTCATGAATGTAGAAATGACAGTCACCACCATGACAATTCATACTTCAGCCCCAGGAACGTGCAGCAGGACGGTTCCGGTCTCCGGTGTCCGGCTCAGTGCGTGTAAAATGAATCACGCCGCCTGGTTGACAAAGAGACGCTCCTGTCTCAAAACACACGGCTCTTGTGTAATTTACCTCCTTTGTAAAGACACCTGTGTCGGCCACGGGGAATAAAATGCAAAGGTTTGCCAAGCAAGAAAATACATGCCATGAAGGCAAACTTATCCCTGTGTGTGTGTGTGTGTGTGTTACAGGTGTGTCAGAACAGGCCTCGGGTGTTGCAGGACAGCATTCCATCACACAGACGTTTCCACTGCGCCTCTTTATTCAATGAAGTACAGAATGGGACGCTGGCCCTCATGTTTCCGACGCACACACTCGTCACAAAAACAGTTCATTCAGCTCTATGAATAGAAAGGGTGAGCGTAAAAATAGAAGTGGGGATTAAAACGTCACAGTTTCACAGCAACAGAAAAGTGGAAAAACGCCTTGACCACAATAGTGACGTCTGCCAAACTTTGTTCTGGCTCACCGCCGATGTACTCGGCCTGCCGGCCGGCTGTGGCCTTTTATTTAGGTGTTTGTCTTCTCTCGCCCAGCCTGTAAAATCTCACGTGGAGCTGCGCGCGCTCTCTGCAGGTTGTTGAGCCGGATGGAAAGCCTAAGCCAATTGTGTTTGTCTGTCTCTGCATGAGAGAGACGGAAAGACGGACGTGGACGTCGGGGCCCCGGTTAGACGCTCAGCCACGCTGCTTTTAGAGCTTGAGATAGAGCAGAGCGGACGTGTAGGATCGCATCCTTCATTCGGCTTCACCGTGTCCTGATAGTTGGTGCTTTCTTATCACGCCCGCCTGGACCGGTATCACACGTTTCCCCCTTCGGGGACTCCTGAGCCCACGGTGTGCTGGGGCCACCTGCCGACCAGATGACATCACTCCTCTGCAGCTCCGGCGTCGGCCAGCAGAGATCAGCATTCTTCTACATTTGGTCAGAGGCGGCGAGGCGACGCGGCCCGCGGAGCTTGAACGCCTGCAGCCACCGACAAGCTCTAATATGTGATCAATGCCTACATTTGGTCAGTCATTACAGCGAATTGGCATTAAACACTGCAACCCGTCTGGTTTTACGTGACCATTCACAGCACTGGAACCCCATCAGAGGCTCCTCGGGCCCTCAGCCAGTCAAACAAGCTGTGGCCCGTCCCGCTTGTTCAGAAGTATCCACACCATTATACGTGTTGATGTTATTATATAATATTGCCATTGTTATCCGCTGATTGAAACTGGAGAGATTGCCCATTTAGCATCCACGTTGAATTAAACATCCTTTCATCGCACGTCTGGATGAGAAGACAGAAGCATAAAAAGGGGATGTATGAGCTGCTACTCCTGCCGGCTTATTAGCGCACTCGTCACGTTGGTGCAACGGGTGTGAAATCCCCCCCCGTGTGGTCAAGAAGAGCAGATTTCACATTTACACATTTGCCTCTGTGAGTTTAAGCAGATCACTGGACTCTGACGTTCCACCGGCCACTTTCTTCCTCACTGCACACGTCACTTTCTGTTCGCTGGTGCACTTTATTTTTAATTTTTAATTTCTAAATATTTTTAACTTTAACTTTATATATAATATTTTATTTATAAAATTGTTAGAGTTAATTTTCCGGTGTTGGGCAAAAGTGTTGAAATCACACTGCAAAAAGTTGGTTCAACTCTTACAGAGTCAATAGAGCTGGAGTCATTATTCAGTGTCCAGATCAGATTCATCTGCGACACTTCGTAGAGTTAAATTAACTCTTTGATAGGTTTGAAATGTAACTGTACAGTGTCACACTTCTTGGTGTTCGGATTAACATCTACGTACTGTGGCGCGTGGAGTAGAGATGATGAGCCGGGTTGGCGGTTCAAACCCTGACTGCTACATGTCCCACGTCAAAGTGTCCCTGAGCAAGACACTTCACCCCTAATTGCTCCCCCGGCTAAAATGTCCAAACCGTGGGTTAAAAATGCAATGTCAGTCGCTTTGGATAAACGTGTCAGCTAAATGACGTGTAATGTATTTAACACTGGGCAGATGTATTTTTGACACTTGTTAACACTCCGTTGAGCGTTGATTTAACACTGACTAGTTGGGACAATATGAACACCAGCTTAGAGTTAAAATTGAATCTCACAGAGTCGATTTGAACTCTCTGAAATTTGCTGTCTGCTGTCACGCACCAACCGCCAAGTCAGATTCCTTGTATGTCTGACACATTATGGCAATAAATGTTTCCTGATTCCTGGTCAAGTTTTAAGAGATCACCTCTTGTGAGGGACGAGGAGGGCGGGGAGAGTGTGAATCGCCACGCCGTGGTTTCCAGGCCGTCGTTAAGTTACCCTCCCGTGGGTTCCCCATTCACCACGAAGACTGATCCCAACCAACAGGCACGTAGGAAAGCATTAATAAAACGCCTCGTTCCACAACTACGTCCATTCAGACTGAGACGGCTCTTCTTCTGCACAGCAGGAGGTAAAACTAGAAATCCTCACAACCTTCTCAGCAACTTCACCGACTCCTTTCACGCTAATTTACAACATGCATGGATTTCTTGCAGAAGCAGTGGGAGCAGAGCAGAAAGAGGGCGGGGGGGGGGGACGAGAGATGAGAGACAACCACTGGACACGAGGGACGCATGTGTCTTTTTCTGCACAGCGTGGTGAAAGACAGGAAGCGAAGAACTAACCAATGAGAAGCCGACTAACCAGATGGCACCAGGCACATTCTTCGAGGGAAGTTGAGACACTTTGTTCCCACCTGCTTTTCCGCTGGTGCCCCACTTACTTCCGCTGACACACACACACACACACACACACACACACACACAGACACACACACACACAGTGCGGCCTCCAGATCTTGCGACCCCCCCCCCGACAGCTACAAATGTTCTCATCACTTTGCATTCGAGGGGTTGCTTCGAGAGTTCACTCATTGTGAGGTGAAACAAACCGTGTCACCGCGAGTCACCGGGCGACAACAGCAGCCGCTTCACCGTTTGACACCCGCTGCTCAAAGCACCGCTTCGCTGGAAACGATCACGGGAAGTGACGCGCGAGCGTCAGCCGGGTGAGCTGACCAAGAGAAGAGCGGGTGTGAATGTGGCTGAGGGGAGACGGATGGAACAGAACCACCGCACGAAGCGGCGAGGACCAATCAGCAGCAATCAGCAATGAGCTTCACGCGCTCGCAGGTGGAGGCCCGTGTGTGGCTTTGCCAATCCTCTGATGCCGGACTTGATGATCCAATCAAATTCTATTAAGCGTTCGCAAATATGCAAAATAGTGTGTACGCGTGTGCGTCTCTCTCTCTGTGGTTTGTTTCTTGAGGCGCAAAACACGTGTCCATGTGCAGGATGTCGTGAGACGCCGTCGCAAAGTAAAGATTGTGCTTTCGGCCCTTTGAGCTGAGGGCCAGTTCCACTTCCTGTTCCCCTCCTTCCTCTTCTATTCTTCCGCCAGGGCCGCCTCTCTTCCTCCTGCCATCCCTCTTCTCAAGGCTGAGTCAACAGAGCGGCTGACCGGGAGGGGGGCCGGGGTGGGGGGGGGGGGTTTCCAGGTCAGGTTAAGCTATCGGAAGCACACGTCCTGTGTCTCACAATGTGTAGCTGGTGTACAAATGGCTTGTTGTTTGTGAGTTTCGCGACGTATTTTGACAAAGCTAAAGGGCCGAAGCTCCCCCCCCCGCCACAGCTCGCCGCCTCGGTGTCGTTTTTGAGTCCTCGATGTGCGTGCTGATGCGACCGTTATTCTGCAGTTCGCCCAGCAAGCATCAGTGACTTTATAGGCTGTCGCACACGCTAACATGTTTTAATGTGCCTCGACAGTAAAAAAAACATCCACACTTTTCTTCTTCATATCCTGATCGGCAATTTGACCTTTGAACCGAGGGCGTCGGCCTTGCGTCGCCTCACCTCAACCAAAACCTGCGCTTGATTTACACCCGCGCGCGTGAATGTTTGTAGGTTGTTTGAAGGTCCAACGTTACCCCAGAGCGCCTTTTCGCAACGGCGAATGCGAATCAGCGGAGCGGTTGACGCTGGGATGTGAGGGCGGATGTCTTCTCCACCCTTTTGTTCCCTCTTCTTGAACTCGCAGAAGGTCGCTCCAGCCGCCCCCTTTTTACCCCTCTGTGCCGCGCTGGGCGAGTGACGCGTGGACGGAAAGAGGACGAAGCAGCTCGGCACCGGGACAAACCCGAAACGTGTCATCTGCGCGAACGGCAATGAATAATTCAAGTGTTTTCCGTTTTTTGAGACGACACCTTTTATTCACAACCTCTTCACCTCCAAGGTGTGAAACAAAGGCGGGTGTGCACGCGTGGCGACAAACTATTAACACACACACGCACACACAAAGAATTCCACACCACCGGTGTGTGTGTGAGACAAATATATACACAGAAGGTGCCTCCCACTCCCTCGCCCCTACTTGCTGCCTCTCTCTCTCTCTCTGAATGTTACTCATGGTCGTGTGTTGCTGAGACGCACCCAGTTGTGTTTTTCCCCTCTCTCTCTCTCTCTCTCTCTCTCTCTCTCTCTCTCTCTCTCTCTCCTTCTCGGTCTCTCTCTCTGTCTCTCATCCTCTGCTCACTCTCTGGTGCTCTCTCCGGCTCAGCGGACGGACGGATAAGACCTTTCTACTCTTTCTCTCTCCGTCCTGTCGGTTTGTTCATTTTCTCTTCATCTTCTTCATTTCAAACATAGCCTCCCCCGCCCCTCCCCCCCCCCCAGGGGCAGTAGTGGGGGTCTCAGCTTGTGGAGTGTGTGAGTGAGTGTTGTTGGGGGGTTTCGGCATGGAAGCGGTGGCACTGTACACGTTCCGTGCCACGGAGGGAGATGAACTCAGCTTCAACAAGGGGGACTTGCTCAAGGTAAGAACGCTTTATGCATCTCTCTGTGTATCAATCTACCTGTCCATCTGTCAACGTACCTGTCTGTATACCTGTCTGTACACCTGTCTGTACACCTGTCTGTATTCCTCACACTCAGTCCTACTTCTCGGGCAGATTGGTGGCAGAAAACATGTTTTTCTTGGAGGGGAAATACACTTATTCTCTAGTTTCTTGATGAGCAGTTTAATGCCACTGATATCTATATGCTAAATACGTAACTAGCTATCGTAGCTTAGCATTAGGAAGCAGCTCAACTGGCTTCGTCCAAAGCAACAAAAAAAACACACCTGTTAAACTGGAGCAATTGGAATGAATGTAAACCGTCATTACTGATTTGTCTGAACCCCAAAGCGGTGAAGTTCAGGTATATTCTAAAAAGTACTTTTTTTTTAAACTAGTCTTTGACATAGATGCAGAAAAAAACAAACAGTGGCTTTAATGTGGCGCCGAGACGGAGCTGCTGCACAGCTGGAAATCACTGTCCCTCTAAGACGCTCAGCAGTGGACGAACGAAAGAGCGAGAGCTTCTCTGGAGACGTAGCGCTGCGGCACCAGCTGTTCCACGGCCACAGACAACGACACAAGAGGGGTCAACCCCCCCCCCACCCCCCCCAAACCTTAACCCTGACCCCCCACACGGGGTTCAGCCTTCAGGGGACCATAGAGCTGCAGAACACCTCTCAGGTGCGGCTGTACCTTCTGAACGGCGGAGAGAGACCCCTTTGCTCGAAGGTCTCATCGGGATGTCGCTCGGGACCTGTGCGCGTTTAGTTTGGTAAAGTCAGGTATGGCCTGTTCTTCAATAGGTCAAAGGAAAGACGATAAGGGCAGGAGGTCACCGTGGGGCGGGTTTGTTACCGCTCCTGGACTCCGTTTCAACGTTATAGACGACACAAAGTAAAGTCGACGTACGATGCCCCCAACAATGAGCTGCTACGTTGAGTTGCATTGACAGTATTTAATGACAGATGTCAGACTCTTATTAGTCACGTTGTTAGTTGTTTCCTCTGGCCACCGGACTGGGACACAGGAGCGTGCAAACCTCGATGGTTCTTACAGCGTCGCTGGAAACTCACTCGCCAAAGCCACAGTGACGCGGCTTTTTCTTTTTCTCTCTCTCTCTCTCTCCCCCCCCGCTTGGATGAAAATGCTGTTTAGACTCCAGCCAAACAGCTCCTGTTCAGACTCGGGTCAAACGGGTACTTTTAAATAATTCCTCAATCCGGCTCGCAGCGCCAGATGGTCGCCGCCGTTCCATTTTCGCCGTGACTCGTGCGGCATCACGCGCTCTGCCCACCGTGTGAAAGGACTCAACGTTGACTGTCAGACCCTTTCCTGTGTCACCACTTACTGGTAGTTTTGCCCCCAATGATCCCACCGGGGGAACATCTCTAAATGGACCCATCACGCCGAATAGCGTAGATGAAATAAAATCCTCCGTCATTGTGACTCATAACATGAGTTGCGGGTGAGAAAGTGCTACTTTTGGGGCTGGTGCAGCACATACACGTCACACGTGTCATCCAGGCGTGCGTTAGTTTTTAGCAGAACGCTTTATTCCCCAGTCAGCGCGGCAAGAAGCGCGCATCACGGCGCCACGTTACAGGAACACTTTTACACTCTCCTCCTGCTTCTCTCGTCTTCTTCCCAAGCGCACAGAACACCTCCCGCCTGTCTCCCAAACAAGGTCCCATTAGGTGACCTGAATGGCTGCCTGATCATAACTCGTCCTCGCTTGGATGGTGTCTACTCAGGTGTCTCCTGGTGCAGGTTGTGCCTCGCCTGAAAAAGGTCTCACCCTTCAATTGGGCTTTTATGCAAACCTGCAGGCTCATGTGTCACATCCAGGCTGCACGAGTGAATCTGATGACAGCGCCTCCTCTGGCCCCATAGACGTCTATGAGAAAATGACGTCTCCCTTGATTTATTCCCTCAGTGAACATTGTAAACATGAGTTCATGGTCTCAGCCTCTAGTTTCAAGTCAGTTCTTCAACACAGCGTGATGTTCATTTAGTGAATTATGGTCCGTCTAGAGTCAAACAGGCCGTAAAGCATGGGGACGCTTCAGGGCGGGGCCACTGTGATTGACGGGTCTCTACCCCCTTACAGAGCCGTCTTCACACCAGTATTAAGTAGCTTTAAATATAGCACGGGTTAGTTTCAGACGGACTTCTTCCGGCTGAGTGGAGAGGCGATCATTCAGTTGTGTGGTTGAGCAACGATCGACGCTGAGAGCAGTTAATCACTTCACGGCCTGCAGCGCATTTTACAACGCGCGGCATTAAAGTAGGTGATGCATGAAATGAAGTTCCTTGGGGCGGACAGGACACAGGACAACATTGGAACCATCGTAGATGCATTAAAAGGCCGGATGCATTTCAGTTGTACGTTCTACTGTTTTTCACGCTCGGCTTGCCGTCAGTTTTAAAGTCTGTCGTTTAGTCTGTTTGAGGTTGACTGATACAACACAGCTGCAATGTGATGAGAAATAACAAAAGCGATGAAGCGCAGCTCTGTAGTGGTAATAAAAAACAGGGGTTTATAAATCACTAGCGCATGGAGAGGAAAACAATGCCAGAGAATGTCGTCGCCGGATTAGAACACCGAATAGAAAATGACAAGAGGGCAGAAACCAAACAGCCACCAGACAAGGAAAGACACGGTGAAACAGGGTGACGTCAAAGCCGCCCAACTGGATCACGTCTGGTGTCTCCAAACCGTCCAGCCGGCATAAGTCATTTAACACCACCCGGCTCTGCTGGACGGACGGCTCAGCTCCACGCGGGTACTCACGGAGCACCTCGGCCTCTGAGCGGGCGGAGGGCCTCGCGAGGGGCCGGGCCCACGGAGACCAACGATGGAGGCCACATCTCATCCGCCCCCTGTGTGTGTGTGTGTGTGCGTGTGTTTGCTCGTAGATCACCAACATGGAGGACGATCCTAACTGGGACACAGCTGAGCTCCACAACAGAAAAGCTTTCGTGCCCAAAAAATTACATCAACCTGCGACCACATGCGTAAGTACACACACACACACACACACACACACACAACTTTGCACACGTTGGAGAGTACATGTGTGCTGCTGCGGGCGTTTTGTGCTCTGCTTTGGACATCTGCATGACGGCATAAGGCGGCCCACCCAAAGGGACACACTCACCGGCTGCCTTACGTAACCACACACGATACCGTGTGTGTGTGTGTGTGTGTGTGTGTGTTTAGAGGGAAGCTGCTGGTACACCATCCATCAGATGGTCACACACCAGCTGGCTGTGTATCGGGCTCGTTAGTGAACACCGGTACTGGTCCAGTTGGAGCTTCTTGACCCCCCCCCCCCAGTGACCTTAACTGGCGAGAGTCCTCGTCTCCTCGTTGGAGCCGTCTGTCTGCAGAGCGCGTCCTAACAAACTGCCTGAATAAGCAAGAATTTTAAAGAGGAAAGTGGAAAAAGGCGCGATGAATTACGCTCCCCAGCTGATAGCTGACAGGTTTTGTTTTAGCGTCCATGTTTCAAAAATAACTTCACAAATGTGCTAATTTTACTTCCCCCCCCGACTTCTCTCTCGTATCACTGTCAGCATTGATCTGTGCGCTTGTGCGTCTTTTTTTTTAAATCATTTGCACTGAAAATAGAAACCTCAAAAACGATTAGATACCCAGATGAATAATTCAAAGTGTGCAAAATTCAGTTGTAGCCGCAGCGGCCGGGTCCACTCGCACAAAAGGCCCGATAAATGACTTCTTCCCCGTGTGCTTCCCTCTCTGTGCCTCCAGCTGGTTCGCCGGCCGGATATCTCGCGGCGTGGCGGAGAGTCGCCTCCGGCACCGGGAGTGCGGCGCCTTCCTGGTCCGAGAGAGCGAGAGCGCCCCCGGAGAGTTCTCCATGTCCGTCAGGTACGACGCGCTGGACTCATCCGAGGGTCCCTTAACCTGCACATGCATGCGTTGCTTTGGTCTCACAGCTGGACTCCCCGGTCTCTTGCGTCCCGTCAGGACCCCGCGGGGATCGCTTGAGTGGATCCTCGCCTCTCATGCGATCTAACTCAATGAGCAGATCGATGCAAACATGCAGCGTGTGCACGCGGCGTTGTCGTCCCCCCCGCGTGGACTTTAATTAAACGTTGAGTGGAGCCTTTAAGGAGGTGAGGTGCAGAAGAGGAGAGGAGGAGGCCGAGAGGATCTGCAGCCCCTCTGGCCCGATGTGAGCTAATCCTTTCTGGCACACCACAGTGCATCTGGAGCCGCTGTTGTTATTTGGGTACGGGGGGGGGGAGTTCCTGCCGGCATTAAGGGAGTCGAAAGGGGGAGAAGAAGGAAGGAAGAGCAGGCCGGTGTGTAACAGGTCCGCACAGAGTTGGTTCCTCTCTGGCTGTTGTTGTTGTTGTTGGATGGCGTCGCAACTGTGGTGTTTTCACGAGTGTGTGCGTGTAGTCTTTGTGTGTGTGTGTGTGTTCTTTGTGTGCGTGTGCGTGTAGTCTTTGTGTGTGAGTGTGTGTGGACTCTCCCGTCGGCGAAGACACCCAGACCGCGGTGGCGGTGAAAGCTCGGCCCGGCTTTGACGTCAGACCGCGTCAATAGGATCCACCACCACATCCTCCAACGGAGCCCAAGAGGTTCACCTGCGTGTCACCTTTACGTGTTGTTGTTGTTGTTGTTGTGATGAATAATTATATTAGTACAAAATTGTCTTATAATCCCGCCTCTCTTTGGTGTTGATTCATTCCAGCGTCTCTGAGCTCATTTCTAACACTCCCATCAGAAAGCGGTGAGCGGTTATTCAGCGTTCATCGATCCAGCCCCGTTGTGGAGGAATGCACAGCGGGGACTACAGGCTCTCTAGAAACACTGATTTGCACGTAATCAGGTGATTAATAGGGTTTCAAAAGCTTGACTCGACCATGAAGGAACACCTTAACGTATCGACCAGATTGGGAACAACGCTTTAAATGTTTAAATACAGCACATTTAATCATTGACTTCATCCACTAAATCAAGATTACATGTTTTCCATTGCACAGCAGTATAATTAAATTAGGCTTTTTAAGCATTAATGGCAGAAAACAGCCAATATTCAATGTAAGAATATACTGGAACTCGCCAGTAAAATGACCCGACACTGCGATATTTCCCAGAGGCTTCTCAGACCATCAGGTAAGAAGAGTCCTCCACAGCTCAGAGGTGATCCGTCTTCATTGAGGATAAAAGCTTTCTGGGGTCTGAATTAGAGGCCCCGCGGTCGGCAGACGGACTTCTTAAGTGCCGTTCAGATTACTTTATCAAAGGTGGTTATGAAAGAGTTTGTGGCTGGCGACCGGCTTCAGGTTGTGCCGGTGCAACTGTCCCGATGGGTTATTTAGTAGCTTATTTTTGGAAAGTGGAGCGAAGTGATGCCAACTTGAGAGATGGGGAATCCATTTTGCTCAGCTGTGCTTTTACAGACTCGGCAGCGGATTCCACCTCAGGACGCAAAGCTGAGATGGAGATCCGGTTTGCAGAAAAGAACATAAACCTACACATATATGAGAGAGAGAGTGAAGAGGCAGAGGTGTTTTTTCTTTCTCTTTTGGGATTTCTTTTGTGTTGGTGTGGTATTTTCACGACTTTGCTGACGAGAGACACTTTCCCTCAAACGGAAAAATCTCACTTCCTTTCGGCCACAATCCTCGATATCCTCCGTCCTTCCGCCCACGCGGAAAACTCCCGGCGGAACGCACGCCGACCCCGCGGGTCATAAAAAGACATTCTAGAAAATCTGAGAGCGAAATGCCTGGAGCTGCGGCTCCGTTTTGTTTGCGTGGTCACGTAGCTTCGCGTCTTCTGAGGCAGGTGGAGATGTTTGTTCCTCACCTCTTCTCTCGGTCACACCGTGAGAGAGCAGACCTCCACGCCGTCCTGCCGCTCATCGCTGGATGTCGTGTTGCGTGATGGAACTCAAGCTGGTTTCACCACAGCTCGGGCCTCTCACACGCACACACACACACACACGCGCACACGCACGTGGTTTTCCGGTCTTGTTTCTAATGTCTGTCAAAAACTTTGTGTCTACAATGGCTCAACAATAATTGTCATCATTAGTCTGTTATCGGGGGCGTAAGAGGGACCACAAAGGGGCCGAGCTCGTTTCACAGCTACACGATGTCTTGGGCGACGTCAACACCCTCTGGTAATAAATACACGGTGCTTTTTCTTCAGGGGAAATTTTCCATTCGAAGTGTTTTTTCCGTTGAGAGAGATAGTGGACGTATTTGAAAAGTCAGATGCTGCTAAGCTAAGCTAACCAGCTTGATAGTCACGGCAGGCTACCTATAAATAAGTGGTATCGATCTTCTCATCTCTCACAAAAGCTCCTGGAGGGTTTGGAAAAATCCCCAATGAAGACAAATGGCATCGTTTAACCTCAGAAAAGCCATCTTCTCTATCTTATTTTGTTTTATTTACCTCATTGCTTCTATTCTTCTTCTCAAAAGACGCAGAAGTCTAATTTCTCATTTTTTTATTAGCAGTCCAGTTGGGCTTTCAGGCCTTACACCTCAGCTCAGTGGCCCCCAGTGAAAAATCACCAAATCACAATGGAGACGTAAGTACAAGAAGGGAGGAGATGGAGAGAGCAAGCAGCACCTGCAGGTAAAAGAGGAGCTTACGGAAGGTGGAGGAGGTGAATGATTTTACTTTTTTATTCCCCTGCTTTGTCGTGTCGACGGAGCTGAAGTCGAAGACGAGCCAGACCTCCAGAGGGTCTCCTCCTTCTTACTTTTGACTTATCTGTTTTTTTAATTAAATGTTTCTGTCTTTGTTCTTCCCTCCATCCTATTCTCTCCGTCCTAATCGTCTCTCAATCGATGTCGTCAATGTTTTCATTCCAGAGATTCAGTTTCAGTCTACGCAACATGCTACCAACTTTGAAAGACAATACAAATATACCTGTTAGCGTTAGATCACATATTATTATATATGACTGTTTAATGCGTAAACACAACAATAAAGTTGTGTACTTTAGTATTTCTGAACCGGTTTGACTCTTAAATCGTGTGGATTTTGTTACTTTTGAACAAAACCAAACTAGCTCTTTCTAGCTATTGCTAACTAGCGTAGCGGATCTCCACGGTGCGGTTCGGCTGGTCTGAACTTTAGTTAGAACATGTTCCTCTGGCAGGTTGTAAGAAGCCCAGTAGGGTTTCTTTCTCCTTGGCTTAAATAATTTACCTCAGTATCTTAAACTAGCCGGAGGGTTTGTTGGCGTAACGTTGCTCAGCGGCGGCTCCGTTGAGGTTTAACTAAGTTCCTTGAGGCGTAGCTCCTCGCATCCATCTCTGACTTCTCACTTCCTCGTCCATCTAACAGATGATGGAGGATGTTTCACCGATGCTGAACCTCTCACTCGATCGCCCACGAGCACCCGCGACATAACGGACGCACACACGCGCGCTGATAACTCACACAGTCGTAGTTAAATTGGCAGCTGGAGGTGTCAGGGTGGCTGTGTGAAGTATCCCAGACATCAGCAGCGGTTCAGGAACTGAACAGCAGATTAGAAGGGAGGCGGGTGGGTGGAGGGGGAGTGTGGTGGGGGGGAGGAGGACGAGAGACAGAGAAAACAGGGAAGCGAGACTCGATTGATGGAGAGAAAGTCGAGGGAAAGATGGACGGATGACCTTCGCGCGTCTTGAATTGTGCTGGCGCAGAGCTAAAGTTTTATAAATAACTTCTGTCCTCATCTAGTCCATCTCTCTCTCGCTCTCTCTCTCTCTCCCTTTGTCTCTTTCTCTCTCTCGTGTGTGTGTGTGTGTTGTGTGTGTGTGTGTGTGTGTGTGTGCGCTCTGTCTATTTAATTTTCTCTCTTTCAATCTTTCTCATTCTCTGTTAATCTCTCTCGCCCATTTCCTCTCAGTTGGAAAAAGAAAATAATCTCTCTATCGCTGTGGGCCTTAATTACACTGGATCAGGGAGATGAGAGGGCACTTGGAGTGTGTGTGTGTGTGTGTGTGTGTGTGTGTGACAGATGCTGTCGGTGTTATGCACTCTGCTTCTCTGATGTCTCTGGGTAATAATTAAAGAGTAACTTCACTCTTCTTTAACGCTATAAAACAAGCTAAATGAACTGTGATAAAACAACAGAGCTCATTTTCATGTTGACGTTTTTACGCGTTTTTTTTAAATCTGCATTTAATGGCTGAAGCGGCTCAGAGCCAGACCCGGTCCTGCGGAGGCCCATCCCGAGTCACCCGCTCGGGTCCTAATAATCCATGACATGAAGTATCAGGCCGCCCCCGAAGCGATCAGAGGCCTGAGACATCCAGTGAGTCGGTGCTAATGACTCACCATCCGGCCATCATCAAAACAAGCGCACCCGTCAGCTGCCGTCTGCCATGCAGAGGTTTTCCCCTGTTTAAAGTTCAGTCAGATTACAGGAGACACGGCGGGGGAAAGACGTGGGGCATATTTATGAATTACAACCGCTGGATGACAACGAGCCGGCGTTCACCGCCACGAGGCTCGGGTGGGGTTGGGTTCGAATGATTTGTGTCCTTTCTTTTATTACGAGGCTTTTCTGGTCTGTATTTCAGTGCTTTAGTTTTAGCGGTGCAGTTGAGGAGGTTTTTTTATGCTGCGGGGCAAATTGAGCGTGAGGATGTTGCGGTTTAAGTGAATGAATGAATGAATGTTTGAAGCGTTTCTGGTCAGCTGACGGAGACGCTGCGGGACCTTCGTTTTAAGTTTACGTCACTGTTTGACACTACGTGCAGAGCGGAGGCGCAAGACGTAAGATGAGACACGTCCGGGAAGCGACTCGTGACATCATGCATCCGTCTAACTTTCTCCATCATCTGTATTGCCTTCAGTGAAGCTGGAGGTTTCATAGCCGAGTTTGAGGCAGCATTTGTTATCTCATCAATACGACCTTATTTTATTATACTTTTTATACTTAACAAACAAAAAATACATATTTATGGCAAATATTACAACAAAACCAGAGTGCTGTGGTGCAACCTGTCTTGTTTCCCTTCCCCGGCTTTCTAAGGGTCTTATTTGTGGAGCCCCTGAGGGGGGGGGGGTCACTCGACATGTCTGCATCCCACTTTAATCCCCTCCTCCGCGCAATTTAGCTTTATCGCCATCGGTTCCACCGGCCCGGGTACCAGGTACCACCACGCTGTGTCCAACAGCTGTCACAGCTGGTGACAGTAACAAAGCCCAGCCAGCAAGGGGCAGCAGATGGCATCAGTGAGAGAGAGAGAGGGGGGGGGGGGGGGGTCGAGAGAGGCAATGGAGACAGATTGGAGCAGATAACAAGGGAGGGGGGGTGGGGGGGGGGTGAGTCAGTGAGGGAAAAGTTGGATAGAAGTGAATACAGACCCAGAGGCAGAGACGGGCAGGAAGCAGTGAGTTGACTCCAGGAACGAGGCCGCGTGCTTTCTGAGAGGACGGCGGTGTGTGAAGCTTCTACACACACACACACACACACACACACACACACACACACACACACACACACACACACCTACGTGGGGGATGAGTAAAGAGCTATGGGGGCGTTGGGTTGACTTCCGCCGCTTATCGGCTGCAGTTATCTAACCGCGTGATCGCAGCGAGGTGTCCACACTTCTAAAGATGAGCTGGCAGGTTACCTAGCAACCGCCGCGGCGCCGGAGAGTGGAGCAGGTACCGCTGCCAATGAGTGGCGGCCAACCCGCTTTGAATCGCGACCACGGGGCGTGCACCGTGCACCGTGGCTACGTGCACCATCTCGAGCTCATGCATCGCAATGTGTGCAGAAATGTTCCTCATACGTGAGTCACTGCTTTGTTCGACGTCATGCGGTGTCCCTTAGGTTGGCAGGTCAAAGGTCGTTATCTGCTCTTCTGCACATCCCCCACACTCTCTTTACTGACTGTACCGATTTGAAATGTGAATCAATGCGGGTGTCTCTCCGTCTGCTTGCACCGGTTTTCGGCATTGAATGAAAGTAATCTAAAGAAGACAAACTAGCAGCACTGTGCTGCAGCCAACAGAGCAAAGACCATCGGTATCCATCAAAGAAAGCAGTGACCCAGGGAAGAGCAGATGGAAATCAGGAGAAATCCTTCTAAACGTCCCCCCTTTGTTCCTTTTTGCAGCTACGGGGACCACGTTCAGCACTTCAAGGTGCTGCAGGATCGCTGCAGTCAGTACTACGTGTGGGAGGAGGTCTTCTTCTCCCTCAACGAGCTGGTGGAGTTCTACCATAGCAACAGCATCGCTAAGGAGAGGACCGTCTTCCTGAGAGACCCTGAGCACTTCGCCCGGGTGAGCAACGTCTCACGGTGCCCCTTTTGACCAAAGCAACAAGCACATACTCTCGATCGACCAATTCATCCGTACATCAAACCATTTTAAAGTTCATACAGGATCAGAAAGACAAGAAATACTCAAAAAATGTAAGAATTATTGATGATTAGATCAAGTATTGAGAGAAGTATTTCTCCGCCTCCCCCCCACCCAAATCCTCCTAAATCCACGGCATGTACATCTTCCCTCTCCTATTGGCTGTATGTGTCTTTTCCCTCCCTGTTGTGGCAGTTTTTACTCACAAATCAAGCTCTTCGTGCTTCACATCGTCGTGACATTGAGGTTCTACCGGTTTTCTTTCCTTTGTTAATGCAGTTGGAACACTTGAATTCATGGGGCGGTGACTGTGCTACAAGCTATTCCAGTCAGGTCAAAGCATCTCTTCTGCATTCATGTGTCTCGGGGGGGAGGGGGGGCTTTACATTCTGTACCTCACATCCACACCCTCCATCTCGTCACGTTTACCCTGATAACAATCTAAGGGGCAGCCGGTTCCCACGATGTGGTGGCGCAGCGGGTGGAGCCGTTGTTGGAGGGGGGGGGGGCCCTATTGTGCAGCCATTATGCAGATCGGAGTCGCGTTGCATGCTGGGCGCTCCTCGGAGGGATGCGATCCACGGCGATCCGCCGCGGCGAGCGCGTTCTCACCCCAGGGACACAAGCAGCGCGCCGATACTCATCACATCATCAGTGTCACCCGCGCTCCCCAGAGGATGAACCCTGAAGTATCCGGTACAAATCGGATGGCTTGCCATGAGATTTGGTTGTAACATTTATTTCCTCCTTCTGTCTTTGTAGAACACTGCAAAGCGTGCATCATCACTCAAAACTCTACACATTTATCACATGACGTATCCACAACCTGCACAACACTGTGGCTTTACAGCACTTTGTTCAAATGCTAAAACACTGCTGTCAGAACTGTGAACCACACATTCAAAACGGAATGTGCCTTTAAAACACTGATGATTCTATTTCAGCTGAAAGCCTAAGCAGGTGTCTTGTTTTAGACTTGTTAGTGAACACACACACACACACTTTTTTTTCTCATTACTGTAATTCCGTAAATTACTACAGACTATTGAAGCAAACTTCTAATTTTCATTTACCTTAAAGAATTGTTATGTTCTAAAGATGTTGATAAATCATGTGAAAGAAAGTCACTCTTTTCTTTGAAGAAAATCTTACTTTGTATGACGTCACTGAAATGGTTCAAAGTGTAAAGATGAACAGTGAGTATTATTTGTGTGTTGGTGTTCTTACTCTCAGTGTGTGAGTGACAGTGTGTGTTCTCACAGTGTTTGCTGCACTGAGCCTGTTTGGAGTCACGTGTTAAGAGTTGTGTTGCTTGGAGTGACTTTTGCAGGTGATGTGAACTGTTGAGCTCAGGTGACTGTTGGTGGTGCAGACTGGAGTTAGAGTTTTGCACATGACGTTTAGCAATCGAAAAAAAACTGTAACGCATGTACTGAGTAAATAGGGGCTTTTTCAAGTAAAATCCCCAACTTGCTTTTGGTGTTTTTCGTCTGCTGAAGGTGTGAAGCGACTCTATTCTGATTGAGGATCATTCTCACACCTTCATTCGCAGGGCATCTGACCCCCCACACCCCTTCCGTCACCCACCTCGACGGCACGTGCTAGTAAATGAAAAGCCCCCCCGCGGTGCAGGCCCCTGCAAAGAGCCCCCCACCCCCCCGCCCCCGCTGCTTCGTGGTTCTTCTGAGGAGATCACACATAAGTACGCGCCTCTCCGTCCATCCAGAACGCTGCACACTCACGTGCATTTCAAATAAGAAACGAGTGCAAGGACAAACTGGTTTATGAGTACAGTAATATATCATTTTCAGTGCGCGCTTGAAGGAAATGTGAGAAGCTAAAATGCGCCCGTCTGAGTCGAAGGATCATTCATTGGTGTTTGTGATGTGTGAGCTGTACTTAAAGAATTGCCCCCTCTCTTCCTTGTATAAGCAAGCTGGAGTAAAACGTGTGCGGGAGCTTGAGATTTGTCTAAAGAAAGAAACTCACATGAGGGTTACTGCATTATTGCTATTTTTTTCGCGGCGCCCTTTGACCCGGTGCGGCGGGAGCAGGTGCGACATTGGCTTCGGGGCGGGAGACGGATGATCTGTGCGCCCGGGGTCCCTTTCCCTGCAGTGGCTCCTCCTCGGCGCACACACCGGTGTCCAACGACCTGGTGTCATGACGTCACGTCGGCGGCCCACGGGCCCCCGGCTGAAGTGCGTCTGCGCTCGCTCAGACGCTCGCCGCGGCGCGCCGAAGGTGCAGAGTTCACCTCAAGGTGCACCGTGGAAACGTCCGTCATTGCTCATCACATCACGGCACCTGAGTCACACCTTTGTGTCTGTTTGCTCTGCAACTGTCTTCATAACACTTATTCGGGGGGGGAGTTTTATGGGTATTTTAACAATACAAAAAACAAATATTAGTTATGCAATGACAACGTAACGTGTATATTTCCTTTATTCCTCTGCAGGCATGTCTGCAGAGTAAATTCCCCTACAACACATCATGCAGAGAAATATCACATATCGCTAACCCCCCCCTCGTCCCCCAGGAGTGACTTTGGTCGCTTCCCTGACGTCCCTGCGGCCTCGTAGCGCATGCATCTAAAATATTAAGAGTATTGCTTCAGACACCAGCACGATGTGTCATCTCCGCTTCACACGAGTCTCAGAGAGCAGAAAAACGAGTTCTTCGGTCGCTCCCTTCAGACCTTTTAGTTTATTAAGTGGCTGCATTAAAAAACAAGTTCTTGTTTTTCTTTCTTCCCCCCGTCCCAAATGATACCTCTTCAAAGATATCTCACAGAGCATGTTTCTCCTTCCAGAGCCGCCGCTCCCCAGCACACGCACACACGAACGCACACACAGGAGCAAATACAGGCCTGCACACACACGCTCTCCGCACCCACGCACACGCGCTAATAAGAAGTCTAGACTAGATCAGCGCAACAATAGAGGACGAATCTGTGAGGATTTAATAGATTTGTAAGATTTATTAACTTCCAGCTGGCAGGTTATTGTGCATGTGTGCGTGTGTGTCCGTGTGTGTGCGTGTGTGTCTGTGTGAGTGTGTGTGTGTGTGTGTATCTGTTGCAATTCTGAGCTTTATTGCTGTTGACTGCCTTGTGTTACACTAACACCCGATGTAAAAGGGGGTAGAGCGGGTGCGCTGGGAACCGCAAAGGTTGGCGGTTCGAGTCCCGGCCGCTCCACATGTCTCAAGTCGAAGTGTCCCCGAGCGAGACACCCGACCCCTAATTGCTCCCCGGGCAAAAATGTGAAAAGGCCACGGTTTTAAAGTGTAATGTAAGTCGCTTCGGATGAAAGCGACCTGTAATGTGATGCAATGGCGTCCAGTCTGAGACGAGGCCGTCGACAGCAATAAAGCTCAGAATTGCAACATGGTTACCGACCCACACACACACACACACACACACACACACACACACACACACACGCTCTCCTTAAAATAGCCTCTTTTGTTCCGCCACCCTTTAAACTGCTTTTACTTTAAGTTGACAGCGATCAGAGGAGGAGCGAGAAGAAAAGCATCACGCCTCAGACATTAACTCTCTCTCTCTCTCTCTCTCTCCCTCCCCCCAGCGTCCCCATCATGCCCACGCTCTCTTCGACTTCGCCCCCCACCACCCGTCCCAGCTCCGCTTCCAGCGCGGTGATGTCATCGAACTGATGGACTGCTCCGATTCGCTGCGCTGGAGGGGCCGTTGCCACGGACAAGTGGGCTACTTCCCCCCCGATTACGTCCAGCCCATCCACCACTGCCAATGACCTGCGGCCTCACTCAGACCCCTCCCCCCCACCCGACCCCGCCCCCCACGCCGCTCCCCCGCGTGCACTCGCCCTTTCACGCCTGGAGAACCAACGAGCCGCGGCTGAGCTGCTCGTCACGTAACTGACTCCTCCCACTGTCCCTCCCGACGCCACCTGTCAATCACAATCACAAGGCCCGTCCATCGCTCCCGCAGCTCCACGCTCTCTTTAATCGTGTAGAAAACTAAAAGGAGACGGACCTACACGGTGTGGAGAACTCAGGCCTGCGCACGCGTCCCGCCAGGCGCACACACACACACACACACACAAACACACACACACCTGGAGGTGTGTGTGGCCCACAGGAGGGCCGTGAAGGACGTTGACACGAACAGACCCGGTGACACAGAGCGCCGTCGGGATGTGAATATTCAGGGGGGCGAGGGCGCCGACACAGCAGATTCCTCGCTCCCTGGACGCGCGTCTGTGTGTGTGTCTGTGTGTGTGTGTGTGTGTGTGTGTGTGTGTGTGTGTGTGTGTGTGTGTGTGTGTGCAGCCTCGGGCTGTGCGGACCAGCAGCCGGAGATCTGTGTGTTAAAGTGACCAGTAAGATGAACTTTGTTTTCAAATACCGAAGATGTGATATCCTCCACTAAACCTACATGTCATGTCTCTGTTTGTTCGTCTCCGTGTATTTATTCTTGTTCGTGTGCAGAAAACATATATTACAAGTAAGAGGAGCTTTCGCTCCCGTTGCAACAAATCGTCTTAGAACGCCGCATTTGATTTACGAGCTTGGACCAGTCTTCCTGAACATGTAATGACGAATCATTCAAATAAAGTGAGACGTTGACCTCTTTGACAGAATAATATTGTAATTTGCGTGTTTATGTGAACAAGGTCACTTGTGTGTATGTTTATGCTATACATATATATATATATATATATACAGATAGACATTGTGTGGTATTCCTTCTTTTTAAAAAGTCACTGTTCCTCTTTCAGTTCCTCTGTGCCAAAAGTTGCAGACTTGCACTTTGTGACACGTTGTGCATTGAAGTCCATTTCATGCTTGTGTTGCTTTATGATTTAAAGCACACGAAACATCTTTATTTAACGTGTAAATTACAAGACGTTTGCCTTCATCTTCCACAAAAGGCAGTTTAATCACACAGAACAAACTCAATTAGTTTTTGTTCCGCAGCCACTAAACGGAAGTTACTAAACTTGGATTCATGAAGAATGACATACAGCTCAGTCAGCAACCTGTCAATCACAGTAAGCCCCGCCCTCAAGCATTCGCTGCTGTCAGCTGACAGAAAATGTCACTTAAACACTTATAAATCAGTAAATGGTTTATATATTATTTAAGTATGAAAGTGTCGAGCTTCGCTGGTTGAAGCTTCTCTGTTTTCATATCTGTCTGTTCAGTTTGGGCTCCAGGAAGTTGTGCGATTTCCTAAAATAATGTGGGCAACAATAGAAAAAAGAAAGAACTGCACATTAGTCATAACATGTTCCCACAAACCGTCGCTGAAGTTTTAATTTAATTAAATATGTCATTCGGTGGAGAGAGCTCAGTGGCCGCCAGATGTGCGTGTGTGCGCGTGTGCGTGCGTGTGCGTGCGTGTGCGTGCGTTGACTAAAGGAGGCCCGGTGTGCTCTTGTGAGGAACGCCTCTCTCTCACAGCCGGACCGTCTTTTCATCCCTTAAATCCCCCCGGGTCTGAATCACCTCGCTTCTCGTTGCTTCCGCCCTTTTGTGTTTTTATTTCCCTCATTGTTTCTCGCGAACAAAGCGCTTCTTTTGTGCGCGCTGGCGGCTTCACCTCGGGCTGCTCGCCGGCGCTAAGTCGCTAAACCAGCGGCATCCAGCAGGGAAAGAAAAGAGGCCTCAAAGAACCACAGAGAGGAACCAACCGCCGCCCTCTTCTTCCCCCTGAAAGCGGCCGGTCACCCCGGCGCGTTGACATACGTGTGACACGTCGACATATGCGTGACACGTTGACCTGTCGACATACATGCGTCACGGTGATGTACGACTGTCTGACTGTCCGACCGGCTGTTTTTTTTTTATATTTAAGGCCGTGCCGACAGGAGGCGTCCTGCTTCTGGCGTGAGGCTCTCGAGCTGAAGACAACGTGACCCACCCGAAAGCCTCGATGGCAACATTTAGCCCCCCGGGACCTCTTTTTTTCCTCACCTTTTCTTGGTTATAATGATTTATAATTACATCGGGCGTATACCCGCAGGGATCAATGCAGGCTAGGTCATGTGACGGGTTAATCGACCACAAACCAATTTGAGGTAATTTGAAATTGAGATCAAAAATATGTCTTGTGACCTCGAGGCTACGTGTTTGATTCTTCTATTGTCAACGGTTTGCATAAATGTTCCTGGAAAACTTCTTAGTATTTTTAACTTTGAAGGGGACATTTTAATAGAAGCTTGAGTGAGACACATTGAGTGAACCACAAACTATCATAATAATGGTCTAAACGGTTTATAAGTTATTAAATTAACATGAAACTAGAGATTGAGACCATAAACTCATGTTTACAACGTTTACTGAGGGAATAAATCAAGAGTAAAGTGGAGTTATTCTCCCATAGACGTCTATGGGACCAGAGGAGTCGCCCCCTGGTGGACAGTGGTGTTTTTTTAGAAATGTCCTAATTGGCTCCACTGAAAACTTACCGGCTGGTTCCTACAGAAATCCAGAGTAACACTAAAGAGGTCAAAGGTTAGCCGCCGTTCCCCGGCCATGTGAACATTTGGATTTGGGATAAAGACCTTAAGAAAATGAAACACACACGCTGTGTCACCTCCAGCTAATGATTAAAATCCACATTCAAACCCTTATCTCTGTGTCTTTCATGTTGTGGGTGTGAGGGGACATGACGGAGCAGGTAGAGCCGCTCCTCTCAGATGCTTTTGGGGCGAGGCCTCTGCTCTGTGGGGGGAACTGGCACCTTAATGATTTGATGAGGCGCATTAAAAGAGGGCTACGCGGCCTCTTTCATCAATCTCATCTGTCACAGTCACACCTGGGTGAAAGCCCCGTGTGCCACGTGACGAAAGGTGCGCATGTTTCTGCGTGTGGGTGGGGCGGTGCCACACCTGTCGGGCGGCGCCTCCAGCGGGTGTCACTCACTCACTCACTCTCTCTCTCTCTCTCTCTCTCTGTGTGATCCCGGGGACGCCGAATGGCGCAGCGTTGACGCCACATGGCCGGTCAAAGACCGAAGGAGGAGGCCACGCGACGCTGAGCCGCGGACTTCTTGTAAAAGTTCAGGTGTTTTATTTCTTGGGGGCGCGCGCGCGAGACGAGATGGCGCTGTCCCAGGTCCAGTGCCTGGACGACAACCACGTGAACGCGCGCACGCACGAGTCCAAAGCGGAGTTCCTGTACTGCGAGGACCAGCGGCTCGCCCTGGAGGCTTTCCTGCGGGACGGCCGCGACGCGTTGGCCGAGTTCCTGAGCGCGCAGGGCCTGCGCGGCTTCCTCTCGGACCCGGAGCTGGAGACCCTCGCCGAGGCGGCGGAGCCCTACGACCCGGGCTCGGAGCTCTTCTTCCCGGAGAACGGCGAGCGGCCGCTGTCGCTGCAGTACTGGCCCGAGCTGTCGGACACGTCCGTCCCGCAGATGGACCTGAGCTGGCCGGACAACGTGTCCTACCGCGGGGTGACGCGCACCACCGTGTACACGCAGCCGCCCCTGGAGGGGCAGGTGCACATCAAAGAGGTCGTCAGGAAAATGATTGCGCAGGCGCAGAAGGTAGACAGAAGCGCGTTTTCATACTGTACAGTGGGATTTGAGGTACCGTTTTAAAGGCATAAAAGAATGAAGTGTAAGAACTGGAGGTGTTTCTGGTTCATGTCTAACACGTGTTAATAATGCGGGATGATGTGGATATAAATCAAATATCGGCACAATCATCACCACGTATTGCAATATTTATTTATAATATATATTTATCTTTTTACAGGTTCACACAGTGGGAGTTTTTGATAAATATTCACCCGTGTTGTCGATGTAATGATTGACGGTGGACGGTTCTATCGGCCGGCTCGAGGTCAGAGTACAGGCGGAGGACCTAATGAGACGACCAGGAGTAAAGTGCAGCTCGATTAAGCCGCTCTATCGGCGGCCGAGGGTTGCGTTGGACGTTTGCGTGATATGCGCGCTTCACGGGCCGGTTTGCGTGCATGTGCGAGCGAGGCCTTCTGTCCGCTCACGAGCTGCTGACTCATGTGGAGTGTAAGTGAGGCGTGATATTTCTCAGTGGCGTGTGTTACATGACGGGTCCCGTGGGCATTTTCACTGAAGGATAAATGGGTCACGTACGCTGGGAGCAAATTTATACATCTCCTTCATTGTTGCCTTCAGAGCTTTCTTCTTAAACTCATCGCATCTTATTTTCCTCAAACCTGTGTTTGAGTAAACGCCGCGTCCCGTTTTAACAACGAGCGCGTGTTCGCCTACTCCAACTGAAGCGATGTCTCTTGCGTGTGCCCAGGTGATAGCGGTGGTCATGGATGTGTTCACCGACGTCGACATCTTCAGAGACCTGCTGGATGCTGGTTTCAGGAGGAAGGTTTCCGTCTACATCCTGTTGGAACGCAAGACGCTGCCTCACTTCCAGTCCATGTGCCAGAGGGCCAACATGCACGCCGGGCACCTCAAGGTGAGGCGGCGCGCTGCTCCTCCAGCACCGGCGAGCATCCACCGTCCGCGGCCGCTTCCTCATTAGATATTCATCTAGGTGAAAGCCGTGGTAGCTCACTCGTGTTTCACAACAACCAGTATTTTGGAACTCGCAGCTAATTATTCATTTTTGTAAGCGTGAGATTTGACACCTTTGGCGCTTGACGTCACAACGACGACTGATGGACAGTGGATCTTCAGTTTTCCAGATGTTCGTGAATCTCCCCTCTTTGAAGCTGAAATCCATCTGCCAGGCGCACAAGCAGAACAAGTTGTGTTTTGACAGACAAGCGATTTAAGTCAGCAGGTTGTTGTTGTGCATGGGTAAGTAACAGCACATGACATCTCTCTCGCTATCTCATCGGCTTGAATAACAACCAGCCGACCCTCCCGGTTGGAACAACACGACGGATTAATCTGCCATGAAAAACACACTGCAGAACAACTTGTTTTGGTCGCGTTGCAGTAAGTCACGGGGAAAATAGAACAGTGGTCTGTTTATCTCTGCATATCAACATATATCTTTACTGGGTAGCACCTGGCTAGAAGTCTGACTTTTTCCTCATTTGTTTAATCCAACACGCGGTGGAAGCGCTGCTGGATGCATTCACACAAAGGCTCCCAATGTGCTGAGCTAAATATGTACCCGCGCTCTGGATCAGTGTTTGGCAGACACAAGAGAGACATCTAAGAGGCTGAAAGCCGTGTTCGGGAGACCTTTGCGTGTGCAAAGACATATTGACTCGCGCGCGTACTGCACATATCCTGCAGATCTATTTTTATCCGGGATGACGGTGACATGAAACGTTCGCGTCGTCTGTTCTGCACCACGAGCTGAATAGCTTCACTGTCCTTCAATGTGGCAGATTGTATTTTATTAACTTACCGGGCCTGGTACACCTGGGAAATGTTTCAGAACTACATGCAAAGCCATCGTTATTTGAACCCAAGCCGACTTTGCCGGCGGCACAAGTTGACGCTTGTTGTCAGAGCAAATACCATTAATGGAGACAGGCGGCTGACGTTTGTATTTGCTGAGCTGCTGTGCTGGTTCGCTCGCACACCCGACCGTTGTCGAGTCTTAACAAGCCGACTCGGTGAGCCGTGTTTGACTGCTGGCACGACAGCTTCATGTCTCTGCATCTCCACTAAACGCACACTGGCTCTGCTGGGATCTGACCTTTTAAGTGGTCCCTTCCATGTACGTCCCTGACTGAATCCCACCGCCTCAGTTACTCTGTGTCACCGCTGACTGTCGCACGGCTGATGAGCGGCTAACGCACAGGAATAGATATGTCCCAGTGGGAGAAAGACGCCGCTTGGCAGGAAGTATTTCGTTCATGTTTTCAACAAGGCTCATAAAGGCTCATTCGTCCTGATTTACTTATTGGTTGTGTCTTGTGCACAACGTCGGGAGGCTCAACGGTTCGTAGCGGATCGCACTGGAATGTCCCGAGGACAAGCGAGCGTTCAGGGAGGGACAGAGACCAGTATTTCTAGTGCCGCGCCCGAGCCGTGCCGGGAATCCTCCGCCGCATGGGGCTTCCCGCCGGTTGAGGAGCTGCTCCCTCAGACCGACTCAAAGTCTTTCAGAGGACGTAGTCTGAACTGACGGCAGCCAAAGTCGCGATCTGTTAAAGTACAAGTCAATTTTCTTTGGGATATTTTTGGAATCCCATATTCTTGCATACTTTAATGTGTGTGTGTGTGTGTGTGTGTTTGCGTGACAGAACCTCCGTGTGCGCTGCACAGACGGAGCAGAGTTCCACTCACGATCCTGCACAAAGGTCAGAGGGCGAATGGGACACAGATTCATGTTCATCGATGGAGACAAAGCCGTGTCTGGTTCATACAGGTCAGTGCACGTTTATCTGTGTGTGTGTGTGTGTGTGTGTGTGTGTGTGTGTGTGTGTGTGTGTGTGTGTGTGAGAGAGAAAGAAACCGTTTATCTCCGTGTGCTCCACAAGTCTTTGTTGCCTTGAGATTGTCACGGATCAATTCAACAAATAAGTATAAGAAGTGTTTGTGCGCTGTACTTTGAAGAAGTCTTACTTTTTGCTCCCTGTTCTGTAGCTTCACCTGGATGTCATCGCGGCTGGACAAAAACCTCATCACCGTGGTTACGGGCCAGGCAGTGGAGGCCTTCGACAAGCTGTTCTGCGTGCTGTACGCGACCTCCACCTCGGTTGACCTTCGGCTGTTCGCCACGGGGAACCAACCCAAACTGGAGCCCCTCCCACAGCCGGTGCCGGTGGCCGCTACTTCGGCTGATATCGCCAGGAAACTGTACAGTCCCAAATATGCCCTCGCTGCTTTAGGTAACCCTGCCCCCTCTTCTGGACCCCAAGACACCCAAAACCTGGACAGCTCCAAGAACCCAGAAACCAAGAAGGGGGGGCGGAAGAGGGCGAGTAAAGAAGCCATCGACCCCCCCATCCACCCCGGACTCACCAACTTGGAGAAAGTGTGCATGATGTCATACCTGCCCACCTGGCCAGAACCTGACCCCCCAAGTGACGTGATCGGGTTCATCAACATTCGCGATACCAGTAAACCGAATCAAGGCCATCTGCAGAGGTCCGAGATGTTTGAAACCAGCCAAGCGATCCGGTTCAGCAGTCCGTTCAGCGCGCCAGAGGAAACCCTGCCGCAGGTCGCCACGCCCAGACCGGCCGCGGTCCGGCACCAGCAGTCGAGCGAACGAGAGGAAGCCAAGACTACCGAGTCGGGGGCGGGCACAGCGCCGCCTGCACCACCCAAAGAGGTGCTTCCTGACGACCGGAGTCAAGCAGGGGCAACTGGACCCAAGAGTGAATCTGACACTGTTGAGGCCCGTTCAAACTTACCCGACGACCGAGACACATCCACAGCCCGCCCTCCCGACACTGGGGGCCCGGCGAGCGGCACACGACCCCTCCGGGCAGGAAGCAATCCAAACGTGCAGCGCGAAGTCTCCCAGGAGGCACACCCGCAGCCTCCCGCCAACTCCCACGGGCAAACAAAGAAGCCGCCGCCGTGCACAGATTTACCCGCGCAAGCTGTTGCCGAGCCGCCACACGTCTCATGTGAACCGACTCCTAACGTCGACGTCTCCGTGGCCCCTCCTTCTACTTCCGTTAGCGCTTCCTCCTCGCTTTCACAAAACAGTCATGCTTCCGAAGTGACAGACGCCTCGTCCGCCTCCATTCGCTCATCCCTCACCTGTACGACTCCCGATCCTCTCCTCCCCTCCCGCTCCTCGGCGTCGTTAGCCTCAACCCCTCCCGTCCCCAAACCTCGTACCGTCAAGCTGGTCATCGATGGTCGCGGGCTGCCGGAGATCAGAAGCTCGGGGCTCCACGTTGTGCGGCGTCCCCCAGACTCGCTGCGCAGCGGTCGCGGGGTTGATGGGGCGGAGCCGGAAGAAGCGGAGCCCGCGCCGAATGTCGGAGAAACTCTGCGGCCCACGCAGACCGTGACCTCGCAAGGGGCGGAGGCTGAGGAGGCCGAGGGACGCAGCAAGAAAGCAGCGGTGCGTCCGCTCGCTGAAAACGAAGCCGGGTCGTGTGTTTTGGTATCTGAGGCGCAGAGCGTGAATATTCACGGGATTATTCCGACGGATTCTGAACCTGAGACTGCAGCGGACAGTGAATTGACCCCACAAATCGAGCGCGTGGCCCCGGTATGGACGGAGACGAAGGCCCGGCGAGGCTCGGAAGTGCCAAACGAACAAAGCGAGAGTTTCTCAGAACGCAAAACGTACTTGGCGAGAGCTCAGGTACCCCAGAGAATATCGTACGGCGAGTCGACCCTGAGGGATGTCGACGTGTTGCAGATTGTGGAGGAGCAAGACCTCGAAGCAAATGCGAGCACGCACGCGCCCGGAAGACCCCGGCACTTGCGCCTCTGCGGGCCGGGCCTCGACGGAGTGACGCAGCTCCCCTCGGCTCGCCATCGCACGCCGACACCTGATGGATTTTCGCCGCGCACGCCCAATCCGGACGATTTCCAGACACCAACGTCGGACGGGTACGCGTCTGAGGAGTTTTACGAGTGTGTCTTCACACACCCGGTGAGAAACAGGGGCGCTGCTATCGGCGACTCGGAGGGTTCTTCCGGCCCCGGCAGTATCTCCTCCTTGTCTTCTTTAAAAGACAAAACGCGGGAGGAAAAAGTTACAAATGGGAGAGGAGAGGATGAAAGTGTCGGGAGGACAGGGGGAGGTTACCGTGGGACCGAGAGGAGAGGCAGCGAGGACCCAAAGAGAACATCGGACCATTTTAAACAAGACAAAAATCCAACGAGGTCAGAAGAAGAAAACAAGGAGGCTCGAGCCATGAGGACAAAGAGGGGGCGGAACCAATCGGCAGCAGAGAAACCGGTCGACGGGGGAGAAATAACCAATGAGAGATTGTCCATTGGTGACCTTCATCAAAAGAAGCCTTCTTCTGAGAGAAAGAGAACAGACGGGGAGGCTTTAGGACCCAGCGGTGCGGAGAGGAAAGACAGGCCGCCTGATGTTCAGAAGGTATAAACAGTAAGCCGATGTTTTATCTCTATATTAAATGTTAACACAGAACTGTTGAAGCCCAGTTCACCCACCTCTCGATCTCATTAACTAAATTCTACCGGCATCTCCTTACGTCAGTCTTTGTGCTACGCAGTTAGCCAAAGAGGAGCTCAATAAAGGCGTTTTGACAAGGTAAACACTTGAAAAGGCAGGGAGGTAATGAGCAGGTAATAAACAGGTCAGTTAGGTTATAAGCAGGTAGGTAATGAGCAGTTAGGTATTAAGCAGGTAGCAGTAAGGTAAGATAGGTAATAAGAAGGTAGGTAAGGAGCAGGTAGGTAAGGAGCAGATAGGTAATAAGCGGGTAACAGTTAGGTAATGAGCAGGTAGGTAATAAGCGGGTAACAGTTAGGTAATGAGCAGGTAGGTAATAAGCGGGTAACAGTTAGGTAATGAGCAGATAGGTAATAAGCAGGTAGGTAATGAGCAGTTAGTTAATGAGCAGATAGGTAATGAGCAGTTCGTTAATAAGCAGGTAGCAGGTAGGTAAGGAGCAGGTAGGTAATGAGCAGGTAGGCAATGAGCAGATAGGTAATGAGCAGTTAGTTAATGAGCAGATAGGTGATAAGCAGGTAGGTAATGAGCAGTTTGTTAATAAGCAGGTAGCAGGTAGGTAAGGAGCAGGTAGCTAAGGAGCAGGTAGCTAAGGAGCAGGTAGGTAAGGAGCAGGTAGCTAAGGAGCAGTTAGTTAATGAGCAGGTAGGTAAGGAGCAGGTAGGTAATGAGCAGGTAGGTAATGAGCAGGTAGGTAAGGAGCAGGTAGCAGTGAGGTAATGAGCAGCAACGAGGCAAATGAAGGCAAGAGGGAAAACAGGAAAAAACAAAGGAATCTTGTCAGGCAACTCAGTACAGGTGGGAATGCCAGGAGCTGGTTGGAGGAAGAAGGCAGGTTAATCATTTCTCAAATGACAAAACTTTTTAAATTGCTTAATGAAAATGAAGGTAGAGGACTTTTCATGACGTAAGTCAGACCCACGTTCTACATTATGGAAGATGCAATATTTAATGAAATAATTTAATATTAATTTCAGTGAACTTTTTGAGTAAGTCTAGCTCCACTGCATTTGACGTTGCCATTACCAGACTAGAAAGACTGAGCCAGCACAATACCAGCAGTTAATTTGTATAAAATGTAATGACCTGCTGCAAAATTCTATATATATATCTAACACCAGCTCACCATTTATTTGTGTGTGTGTGTTGGGTATGTACCAGCGGAGCGTCACTAAGCTGAAACAAACCGTCACTTCATTATTGAACGAAGAAACTGGGCCCGAATTAATGCCACATATTTTTAATGAAGCCACGCGTGCGCTCACGCCGATGCAATATTGATGAATCGGTAAAAGATTGATGGTTCCACTTTCTCCCGAGGACTTTGACTTTTATCTGCCAATGGTCCTTTAAGTCCGTGAGATGTTGCTGGCGTGTTTCGGCTCAGCTCGGTCGTGTCGCATCAGCTTGAGTGACGATAAAACGGATCCAGCACCCAAGAAACCCGTCTTTTCCATTCGCACGAGGCTCTTATGTCGCCAGCCGCGGTGAGCGCGGATTCACAGACGCTGTGTGATACAATATGAGAAATAAACCCTCATCGTGGAGACGTTATTCTGCTCTCTTTCCAAAGCGAGGCGGCGGAGCGCCGTCCCCTACCGGACCCCCTCCGGCCCTCTCAACCGACCAGGCTTCGGGGCTTCGTCCCTGGGGAAGCTGTCAGCGGGACCAGACGGAGAGCGCAGTGATGGACGCAGCCCCCCACGGCCAGCGGAGCCTCGTCCCCCAACAGGGCGGGGCTCAACACCCCGCCGCCAAGCACATGGTCGGCCGAAAGCAGACGGTGGCCCCCCAGGAAGAAGGAAAGACCCCCTTTAGCTGGACGTTCAGCAGCCTGAAGGACAAGGTGAGCAGGCTGCAAGCGCCAAGCAAGGACGGCAGCGCCGGCCCCCCGGGGCCGTGACCCAGGAGCGCAGGCTAGACCGGCGTCCATTTTTGAGTGACTCCCAACGCACCAAAAAAGAGGCACGGAGATAGAAACATTTAAGAAGCCAAAAGTGTGTGTCTGACCTTTAACCCATGACTTTCCTGTGTTTTACCCCCCGACCCCACTTAATAAGCAAATGTTCCAAAGACTAACCTCATGACAGCGGCTGTGTGTATCGCTTCTGTATTACTATTGCAGAACATATTGTTATGATGAGCTTTTTTCATTTTTGCTTATTCTGTGTGCGGCTACGTCGAAAAGACCAACAACAGGGACCTTTTCGGGGGGGCGGGTTTCTGAAGTGAGGTGAATAAAACAAAGGCGCCGTGTGCACACATAAACTTGTGGATGATATCGATGAAACGGCTTATGTGAGCGTACGTCATGTGTGTCGGAAGCAGGAGCGCCGCGGTCATCAGGTTATTATAGAAGACTCCACTTCTAAAGTGGAACTAGGGTTCCCCATCTGTTCCCGGGGGGAGTCGCTCAGGGGACATTTAGTCGTCTCCTGGTGCAAAAAAACACGGTTGAATTCTTTCATTAAAACATATGTGATGAATCATGGATGACGGCCCTTTGGAGCCGCTCCGCGTGAGGTGTGCTGAACATCTGATTTATGTCTTCGCCACCGTCAACAACGACAAAACGCCAGGAAGCCGCGAGCAGCGGGACCCTCCAGGTCCCAACATCCGCCGTGAGAAGGTTTCCATCAGATGTTTCCTAACGCCGAAGCTCCTCCTGAGCAATCTGCTCCAGCGGGAACGATGATGAATAATGAGACGGCTCAGGAGCTGTTTTGGACGCGCTGTGTTGTGTTGACCGTAGTTGGATTGTGGAACGGCGTTCTCTGTACAGTAAACATGGAGCAACAGATCCAACGGATTAACACGTTGCGTCTTGTTCGTTAAATCCAGCAACAGCCGGCGGGGAGACGGGGGCGAAGACTCCAGGAAGTTACCGGTACGACGTGAGAAGAACACTGTTTCTGTCTGGATTAAAGAATCAGCCAGCTGACTTTGAGCTAATGAAACCTACTATTTGAATACCAATTAACCGTTAACAAACTAGAATATTGCAAAGCACGATGTAACAGTGCTCCAAAGAGACCAAAAAAAGAAGTTATATGTAGATGTTATACTTTGCACATGGGACAAATCTTATGAATATTTAGCCAACAGTCGTTGATGCGACTCCAGAGTGACAGATGGGTGAAACTAAACAAAAAAGTCATCAAGACATGAAATATCCTTTGATTTTCTGGTTCTCTGACCCTGTCAAACACACATAGAGGATACGTGGGGGGGCTAAGGGGTGATGTTCAAGTCTGGAACAGAAAGGGACTGAAGAATATCTCACATTTGCACATTTTAAGTATTAATGAAGAATTACAGCTTCCTCTGGCTTTTCGGAGAACATTATACATAAATGTCTCGGTGCGCGTTCGTACCATCCAGGGAGGCACAGATGAGGGAACCGAGCCTGAAACCTGCTGGTTTCCGGACTCGGCGGCCTTTAGTGGCGAGCCTGGAGACCGCAGCTGACTCCGCCCGCATGCCGAGAGACGAGGAGGAACTTCGGCGGCCGGCGCTGAAACTCCAAACGGTGTGAAACGAAAAAACGCATCGAGGAGCGAACACGCTTATGTAACATTCCATTTTCTGCCTTCAGATCCACGTAAATGCTGCACACTGTACCTTTAAGAGCACGGCTCGCTGGGCTAACGTAGCTGCACGAGTCACAAAGCACGTTTAACATCTCAAACATTATGCCCATCTCTGAGCCAGCAACACACACACACACACACACAGCATGGTGGAGGCCTTGTGATGATGTTTTTGGTTTTTCCTAGATGATTGGACCTCATGATCGTGGTGGCTCAATCCCAGAATAGCACGCCGCACACGTTCAAACACTCATGGCATCCGAACAGAAGCCATCCCCTCTCCCTCGGGCCGGTTTCGTGGAGATGTGACGGACGCACGGCCGGCGTCCTCCCGTTGGAGCTGAGCTCTCCAAGCTCGTCGCAAATGATGAGGCCGGACTTCCACTCACCCTCACGAGTGGCAACAGAGGCCGAACACAACAGGCTTTCGCGCGCACACACACACACACACACACACACACACAAAGCGGTGACTCAGCCCTCTTTTGGGTCTGCTTTTGTAACCGCCGTATGGGTCCTTCAACAAACAAACACACAAATATATGTATAAATATACATATATGCTGGTTGCGAGAGAGTTGTGTGGTTGTGTTGTGTGCATGTGTGTGTTTGTGTAGGAAGGTGGAGGTGAACTAAGCCAGTCAAGCCGTCCTCTGATGTCTAATTAGCGCGCTTTCCTGCTCCCGTGGTCCTCCGGGTAATGAAGTGTCCCATCAGCCCGTATGGACCTGATTAAAGACACACACACACACATTTGTCCCATCACTTTCTATGTGTCACTCTGTGATGATGGAGGATGAAGATGTTTAATTGTTTTGTAACTAATGACGTGTCACTCGTCACCGAAGAGGAGTAAAGTGGTCCTTTCAGCGTCTTCTGGTTCGTGATATGAGGGTCATTGTCATCGATGGAGTCCCCACGGGTGGGGTTTTGCTGCTGTGCTGCTCGAGACGTCCGTGTCTTATTATTTGTTTGATCTTTATCTCATCGAAGCAGGTCATCGGCTATTTTCCCCCCCGTGGACGGGGACAGGAAGCGGTCCGACCACGACTTCACACGTCCCTTCACGCGTCACAACATGAAAGAAAACTTTCCAAACGGGACGGCTGGCAGATATATATTCATTTACAAGTAGTTAGCGCATTAATATGAGATGTGAGCGCCATCTGCTGGTCGGGGGACTTTCTTCTGGCTGGTCGATGAAGCCGAAGGGGGGGTGGGCAGGGGGGCGGCAGCAGGCTGAATGTCTCTAAGTGGTTATGAAATGTGTTTTCTCTCCCCGTCTCGTGTCCTCTGGAGGTCCTACGGTGTGTAACACCAGCTGACAGGAGGCGCAAAGGCCTCAGAGAAACAACACGCACGTCACACCGATTCAGACGCACTATTTGTAAGAAAGAAAAGGTTTACAGTCGCTGCCGCAGTAATAAAACTATTATTAAGCAGCGTGACCGAGCTGAATACGTCTGTGTCCCGAAGAAGTTTTACATTTAAAGTGTCCATCACCGCCGTAGTCACCGATTTGACGTCCGGAGGCCGATTTTTGGCGGCCGCCATCTTTCTTTCATGCCAGACGTGAGCGTATTTTAGACGAGCAGCTGCTAGCTCGTTGCACCCATAATTCACGTTAGCAGTGGTGTTAATGGGATGCTAATTTATGCTAATTTAAATTGTTATGTATGCAGGAGAAAAAGACTAAGCTAAGCTAACTAGCGGCTGTGGAGAGCGAAGGCACCCATGCTAATGCTAATTCGTGCTACTATATAAATAGAATATTAATAGAACTTAACTCACCAAAAAAACATTATGTCGTATCAATATTAGAATTAGAAATTAGCCGGCTGTCAAGAGGTTTAAGTTTGGGTCTCTGACAGGGGGGGTTTATGCGGATTGACCCACTTTTGGAGCCGCATTAGCTTCGTTTTTTAGCCCCGGAGGTTGCAGCATGTTTCTCATGCCTGATAATTTGCTTTATTGTTATTTTATGGCAGGAGGACAATTCCCTCCAGCTCTGGAAATCAGGGTCTCTTTACATCCCTGAATTCAGAGGACATAAATGTGGAGCCACCCGACTCATTCCAAATCAAAACGTGGATTTACAGTCGCGACAACAATCACAGTAATTACTTGAGGGTTTTGATTCTTTTTTGAGGACAACGAAAGCAGATTAAATGATTGACATGATTATACATATGAAGAACTGATATATATAATATGCAGAACAGATATTTCTTCGGAGAGAAACGTTCCTCTTGAATGTTAAAGTGGCATTTTTCAGTTAAGAACGTTATTTGAGTTGCTTGAGTGCAATGAGGAGCAACGTGGAGCAACAAAATGTATTATTGTATAAATGATTTATTGCGTCCTAGAGGTTGATGGTGGAACAGGCTGTGATTCCTACTTGTCTGAATAAAGGCTTTAAGATTAACTGTGACTTTGACAGACCGTAGCTCAGAGCTAACTGGAAGACTTTGAAAAGCCGCTTTAGACCGCCGACATTGTTGGTTTTAATGTGACGTCAGATGACATTTAAAACCCCCAAGTCTCCTGCTAGACCGCCCGAGGCCGATCCGAGGAACACAGATTGTGGATCTGTTGAGGCAGAGCAGCAGGGAGGGTCATGCTTAAGATAAAGGAGCTTACGGTCACAAGGCCCACTCCCTCCTCTGGAACGCCGCCGATGTCGGCGCGGCGTTTAATTAATCCTGTCGGGAAAGGTTAAGAAAAAGGAGGGAGAGAACAAAACGAAAGACTTTGACGGAGGGAGAGACTCAAAATGACAAAGACAATTCAGCCTCACTCTGCAGAACACTGATTTGACTTGAACCAAACTCGTAGAAGGTGTGAGGACCCCCCACCCTCCATTACACATCTGCTGTCGGGCCCCCGAGCGACACATTCGGGCCCTGCAGGAGCAGACTTGTGCGTGTGAGCACCTCCCTCCCGGTGGATAAAGGCGGCTCGGCCGAACATCCTCACGGCGGATTCCTTTACGCGAGGACAGGAGGTTACGAGTTTTTACCGCTGCATCTGCAGGTGCACTTTATTATTTAAAAAGGGATTCCAGACCCACTGGAGTCGGGTCTCATTATGCAGCTCCTCTTTGTGGAGGAGGAGAGGCAGGAGGCCTTCCTGTCCGATGTAGGGGGGTTCTGGGATTCAGATTGGACCTTCTTTAAAAGCTCTCAGGACGTTTGACGCCACCAGAAGGGTTTTGAGATCTTTGCTGCTGTTTGGCATCATGATCGTTCTATTTGAAGAGAAGTGTCGATCCCTTTTTCATTTTTGGTATCATCACCTTCGGAGGTGACCTTCGCTGTGGCTCGTGTTCGTGGCTGTCATGGAGTCAGTGACAGCGAAACGCCACGGCCGAGACAAAGACAGGACACGCCGCAAAGACCTGTGGCTTCCTGTGGAACAATACGCGTCTGCAGCCTCTCTGACAGACCGCACACACACACACACACACACACACTCTCATACACACTCACACACATGTTCTCACATTCAAAACTATCATTAGACTACATTGCGTTCTGCACGCCATCAAAGTGGCAGTTTCATTTCTTCTTCTTCTGGTCGTGCAGGAAAGACCTTTGTTTCTGCTTTACGGTTTATATGATGGCTGCATTTTTAAAAGCCTCCAGAAGCTTCATATTTGAGGAACCTTTGAGGGGCAACGTTTGACATGCAGGCACCTAAAAGTTAAATATAGCTCAGGACAGGAGGAGTTCAGACCAGGTCTCTGTCTCCCTCAGGTGGAGGAGCAGTTCCACTACAGGTTCTCCTGTACATATTGAAGCGAACGGATAAATTGATGGAGGAGACGTTGTACTCGAGTCCCACAGCAGCTCTCTCAAGCTGGACTCCGGTTCACTCACAGCTCCTTTCATGCTGATACGTCGTCACAGGCAGCAGCCAATCAGATCGCATTTACGCTCACGTCTAAAGGGCGCGAAGCTCAAAAGTAAAAGATGGCGGACCAACCTGGCGGTGGCCACCCTGTACCTTCCACATGTTAAAAATAAAAATGTTAGATATGAACCTGTGTATTATTTAAACAGCTTAGTATTGAATGCACAGTAACGGTAACAATGTAATGTTTATACATGGCAATAGGCCCAGTGTGATATATGCACAATTTTATGCAGATTATATAGCAGGGGGTCCCTGCTCCATCTCGCCATCGGTTTGGGGAACCTTGGCCTGAAAAACGTTGAAGACCCCTGTTGTAAAGGAATGCACTCATAGTGTGAGACATTTTTAATAATGAGCCCAAAAAGTTTTTTCTAGATTAATTTGTTTATTGTTATTTAAAAAATACAAAGAGTCTATAACCTGAAGATGATGAAGATGATGATGATGATGATGAACACCTTTCTGCGTCTCGGGTCTCTGGAGAAACTCCGATCTCCCGCATTTGGGGGCAGAATAACACTGATTGGCTCCACATCAATAAAAACCTGCACCTCCCTAATTATGATGTCATTCCCGGCTTTTCATAAAAGACACGAGAGCAAACGAGACAGAACCCTTATGGACACCGCGGTGGACTAAGCGGTTTAACGGCAGCGCAGTGACGCCCTCTGAGCCAGATGTTGACACTGGTTGTTATCGAATGCAGCAGCGTCCCTATGGAGGAAGGCGAGAGCGTCGGCCCAGCAGAGGGCCTCCTCTCTCCAGGCGTTTGCATGTAGCTCGTCGCTACGACGACCACGCAAAGCTGACGTGAAGTCGAGTCCGAGGCAACGAGTCGGCACAGCAGTTACAGAAGGAGGTCTGGGAGACGTGAACTTCAAGGGACGTTACAAATTGTCAGGGGAGGGTGGAAAAAATAAAGATTGCTCACTGGGTCTTGATGCTATGTGATATGGATCAGTGCAGCTCAGCGCAGAGCGACCCCTCCCTCCCAAACATCGGCGGCAACACGACGGTGGAGATAAATGTGTTGCAGGACTCGGGAGGCAGGACGTTATATGTGAGACGGCCAGATAAACATCTCATCATGTGTGGAGGAGAAGACACATCAGGGCATGAACCAGCCTGCAGATGTTTCTGCTTTATTTCTGCTGGAGCTGATGATTAAATAAATATGAAATGAACAATCCGCTCCGCTTGCTTTGATTGAGTTGCACGCAGCGAGGACCTCGTCGGAACCCGGTAAAGCTCATAATCAGCACTTCTGATGAACATTTGCCATCTTCTCCGCTCCGGTTCACTGACGCTCCCCACCACGGCACTGAGGGGGGAGGGGGGCAGGGGGCCCTCGACTCGGTCCAGCTCACATCCATCTCACGCCTCTCCGCCTCCGCCTGAACCCCCCCCCCCCCCCCCCTCCCGCTCTCTCCACTATTCAACCAGTCCCAGGAATGTTGAGTGGTAAAAAGGACAGGAAGTGGGGATGGAGGAGGAACCAGGATGTGCAATTCACAGGTTCATATAAACTATGCAAAGATTAGAGATTTTTCAGCATGAATCCCCCTGAGGGAGGCGATGCTGTCAGAGAGGACGGTGTCGCCCTGGGGGGGGGCAGGACAGCGGGACGAGGGCTGTGGGGGGGGGGGGTGTCCTCTCTGGGAGCCTACCGGGACGGAAAAATGTGCTTCTCTTCACGCGTGTCACGCTTATGAGGTCGGACAGCAGAGTGCACAACGCACTCCTCAGCAGAGCCATCAAGATGTCTCCAGACACACACACACACACACACACACACACACACTCTGTCCATGTCACCAAGCTGGGACCAGCCAGCAGCAAGAACAACCATCCATGGCTTTGACCCTGAATCGAACATATAGAGGGACGGGGTCCATCGAAATAGGACACTGTTTGTGTATAAAAATAGAGGACTATCAGGAGGCTGATGGAACGTCTTTGGCACTTAAAACAAAGAAACAAAGATTGAACGCGGGTTCATCCACTGATGAGTCGGGCCAGGCCCGGGTGGACTTGAGCCTGAACGGGTCCGTACTCCACCGTCTCCCCGTCCACGGTGATCCTGCCCTGCGGGGAGACGGGCTCCAGCCGCAGGGCCCTCACCTTCTCGTACACCAGGTGGGGGCAGCCGCACGCCAGGTGGCCGCCCTTCTCCATGGCGAGGAAGAGGCGCAGCAGCGCCGGGCGGGAGATCCCCGCCGTCACGTAGAACAGGTGGATGACCCCGTCGTCGGCCGTGGCGCCGGGGGCCGCCCGCAGGTCCTCGGCCAGGTGCGACTGGTAAATGGCGAGCACCAAGACGAAGTCCTCCTCCCTGACCACGGTCCAGCTCTCCGGCACCGGCTGGTCCGGGCCGGGAAGCAGGGAGTCGTCCTGCGACCTGGCCTCGGCGGTCCTGTTGGTGATGGCGTTGTTGGAGGCGTCGGTGATGGCGCGGCGGTTCTGTTCGGCGCTGTTGTGCTTGTGGAGAGAGTTCTGGTTGGCGGGGGTGTCGGGTGTGAGCCGGCGGGGCGGGGAGGAGCAGAGCGAGGGCCGCCGCGGCGTGGAGGCGGGCGGATGGGCCGCGGCGCTCCCTCGGGGGGGCTTCGGCGCCTCCGCGGCGGGCAGGTACGCCAACCTGCCCCGGTAGACTGTGAGCGAGGCCAGGCGCGCCAGGGTGCCCATCAGGAAGCGGACGGCGCCGACGTGCCGGTACTTCTCGCTCTCCGCGTCCACGTCGGCCACGAAGCCCCAGGCCAGAGACAGGAAGGAGAAGAGGCGCTGCCGCGAGGACAGGTGGACGGACACCAGGTCCATGGAGACCACCAGACCTTTGCACAGCAGGAAGCCACAGCTGAGGAGGAGCTCCTCGTTCCACGCCGGGGGCGACCTGAGGGAGGGGGGGGAGTTAGAGACGTACGTTAACCAAACCTGTGGACAGTACGGTGAGGACAGTAGGACAGTACGGTGAGGACAGTAAGTGTCCTTTTTAGAGTACATGTTATGTGAGAGAT